CCCCGGAACCCCCCAAACTCAGGAGGGGGTAACCCCCCTCCCGAACCCACCCCCTACTCCGCGCTTCGTATGCTTCCACATACTCATAGTCCTGGTTACGTCCCTGATAGGGCCTAGTAGTGACTCGTTATACGACAGAGTAGAATGTCTCTAACATTGTATTTAATATTCTAAAACATGTATGATCGAGTTAGTGCTCATAATGTTTTGAGTAATTCGACATGTATTTCACAAACTCGTGGCATTTAGAAATTCCATTCCCATTTTTAAAATTATCAATGAAAATGTGTGGCCGTATATAGCCACGGTTTCTATATAACTGTTATATACGATCACGGACTTAGATAATCTAATTCCGTGATACGATCTTGCTCTGGAAATAGCCGGTGTGTGTTTTTATTTTAAGAATTCGGCTGACACTTTGTAAAAGTATTCCATTTATACGTCTCTGATGTGACTAACCTAATGAATATGCATATCTTTTGTTCACTCAGCCATGCAGCGGTGAATGGGTTGTTCCCCTTGCCAGTGGTTCTCCAGTCACTGTCACGGACACGGTCACGAGCTCATTGAGGTCACACGCACATCACACCACAGAACGACGGTTTCATCAGTGCAGAAGGACTTGAATGAAAGACTGAAACATTGAAGATGGATCGTATTAAAAAGGTGTTCTTTTATTTAGAAGGGCCACAGAATGTGGCTGACTTCCAGAAAGTGTGTGGAATAGAAACATGTATACGGAAGACAAGCAATGGCATGAATGGCTTTGTGGCTTCCGCTGAGACTGAAAATAGCGACGCCGATAAGCATCCACAGAACTGCGAATTACGGCACAGAGATATACATAACAGTGTCGGCAAACAAGGCGATGTATTCGAAAACATTTCAAGCTCATCAAAAACTGGGTGCATCCCTAACGGACTAAATGGTGTTAGCCATCAAACCATGAATGGTTTTGTGAAAAATGGACACGTTCGAAATGGATTGCAATCGCACGAATCGACGTGTAAACACATGGAGAATACCGACGAGGTTTCGTATAAAATCCGTAATAAATTTGTTTATTACCTTTTCCACTTTGGTGCTACTCTGGGTAACGAGTACTTTTATATGGTGTTTTTCCCATTTTTAATGTGGAATGTTGACAGTCGACTACTAAGACAAATGGCCATAGTTTGGCATGTTGGTATGTACCTAGGCCAGGCTGCAAAGGATGTATTTAGAAGACCCCGACCTGCTTCTCCTCCTGTGGCATACCTAGAGAAGAGATATGTCACAGAGTATGGCATGCCATCTACACATTCGACAGTGGGAGCTATCATCCCGTTTTCAATACTGTATTTGACCCTAAATGAATACCAGGTAATTACCAATGAATATTGAGTCAAGGTACTCGCACATTTTGTACACAGAACCATTCAGTGTTCTCCCCAGGCTGTTTTTGCTCCTATACTTTTTTGCCATGCTGCTATCCTAGATCTTCTCTGCTGTATATTTGTAGTAAATCTAAAGTTACCATGCAGCTTTGATTTTACATAGAGTGCTGTTTTAGGCCAAATAAAATAATATGTGTGTTTCCGGTCACCCGGCCTACCTGGGAAATAATGCGCCGACCTGAAACATTTTTATTAATGAAAAATCGAATATTCATTTCGGCGAGTTGTAATCATGGTATTTTACATCAGTTATTTGTTAGATCACAAAACAAAGTCATTAGAGCGCTTTAAAACGAGCCCATTTAAATAAAGGATATTCCTTTATTGAAGCGCAAATAAGACCATGACTGCACATGGACAGATTTATCATTGATTGAATCGTAAAAGTCAATAGAATTCCGAACACAAAACGCGATGGCGTCTGCACTGACAGCAGCGAGTTCAGTTGTTGCTGTCAAAATAGCGAAATGTTTGCACATGGAGGCAAAAACGTTATGTCTTGTTTTAACGACAACACCGTTTTAAACGATGTGTTTACCACTTACCACGCTAGCCCTCCCGACTGACTGAAGGAACATATTTTGATGATTAAGTGTGGCAAAGACATTGAATCATCGGAGTCTTGGTTTGAGGTACTCAATGTTAGAGGTTTTACACGGCGAAAAAGTTTTGACAGGCGTCCCAGACGGCAAAATCATATCCATAAAGGCCGACCAGTGGCCTCTCATGTTATAGGAGTAGGTTTGAATTTGATGGGAGCGTAACTGATGGAGGAATAATTCATGTATTTGGCATGAAAGTTTTACATGATGTTGAATACAGTTGTGGGGCCCCCTCTTCCACTGCCTCATCACATACTTATGTAACAACAATGACTCGAGCAAACTTGTTTTGTGCAACTCCTATAGAAATTCCTTATTATACTGCTGAAAAGGCAGACTGGACCTATGTTGCCATTGTGGGGCCGAAGTGTCTCTTGATTTAAAAACCCCAATATAAAACTGTCCTACCTATGTGTGAAGACTGGGCCCACAAAGGATTAAAAACAGTAGTAACCTGGCCATTTGGCAAAAAGCAATGACAAAAACAAAGACAGTATTTACAGAATTGTAATTCAATTTCAATCGATTTGGCTATTAAATCAATGAAAATACATTCCGACAAATTACCAGTACATTCAAATAAACATTCAATACAATTTCAATTTTAAGAATTTATTATCAAAATAAATTTAAGGTACCAAATGAGAAATGGATATTTTTGTATCTAAATGAAAACGGGAAAAAGTTTACTGAAACAAATTTAGTAAAAACAGTATTGCTTTATGCTTTTGACATATTAAAGTACTAGAGAGTCTTATTCAATTTACCCCTGTATAAACACAGGTGTTTACTGGTTATAATAATAATAATAAGAAGAAGAATACTGGACGCAGGCAATATGCCTATATATCCAGATCTGGAATATCGTCAGACACTATGCTGACGTCCCAACAATGAATAAGTTCATTATTGTCTATCTCATGGTTATAGAAACAATCAGGTTGTCCCCAATACTTATCCAGACGAGATTCAAATGTTTTATCAAATGAATCTTTATATACCTGCTTGATCTGGTCAAATTCCTGAAAAATAAGAGCCGAGAGGTCAATTGAAGGTTTAGTATCATTTATTGTGGGAATACATACAGAAGACCTAAAAAATAAGCATACAACACTATTGCTTCACATTACAATCGTAGGCAAAAGGCTATATAAATACATTTACCTTCAAGTAGATCACAGTGAGGGAGCATATACATTCAAGTAGGTCACAGGAAGGGAGCATATACCTTCATGTAGGTCACAGTGAGGAAGCATATACATTCAAGTAGGTCACATGGAGGGAGCATATACCTTCAAGTAGATCACAGGGAGGGAGCATATACCTTCAAGTAGGTCACAGGGAGGGAGCATATACCTCCAAGTAGATCACAGTGAGGGAGCATATACATTCAAGTAGGTCACAGGAAGGGAGCATATACCTTCATGTAGGTCACAGTGAGGAAGCATATACCTTCATGTAGGTCACAGTGAGGAAGCATATACCTTCAAGTAGGTCACATGGAGGGAGCATATACCTTCAAGAAGATCACAGTGAGGGAGCATATACCTTCAAGTAGGTCACAGGGAGGGAGCATATACCTTCAAGTAGATCACAGTGAGGGAGCATGGTCACATGGAGGGAGCATATATCTTCAGGTAGGTCACAGGAAGGGAGCATATACCTTCAAGTAGGTCACAGGAAGGGAGCATATACCTTCAAGTAGATCACAGGGAGGAAGCATATACCTTCAAGAAGATCACATGGAGGGTGCATATACTTTCAAGTAGGTCACAGGAAGGGAGCATATACCTTCAAGTAGGTCACAGTGAGGGAGCATATACCTTCAAGAAGATCACAGGGAGGGAGCATGTATCTTCAGGTAGGTCACAGGAAGGGAGCATATACCTTGAAGTAGGTCACAGGAAGGGAGCATATACCTTCAAGTAGGTCACAGTGAGGGAGCATATATCTTCAAGTAGGTCACAGGGAGGGAGCATATACCTTCATGTAGGTCACAGGGAGGGATCATGTACCTTCAAGTAGGTCACAGGGAGGGATCATGTACCTTCAAGTAGGTCACAGGGAGGGAGCATATACCTTCAAGTAGATCACAGGGAGGAAGCATATACCTGCAAGTAGATCACATGGAGGGTGCATATACCTTCAAATAGGTCACAGGAAGGGAGCATATACCTTCAAGTAGGTCACAGTGAGGGAGCATATACCTTCAAGTAGATCACAGGGAGGGAGGCTCTTCAAGTAGATCACAGGGAAGGAGCATATACCTTCAAGTAGATCACAGGGAGGGAGCAGTAATCATGAGGGAGCATATACATTCAAGTAGATCACAGTGAGGGAGCATATACCTTTAAGTAGATCACAGTGAGGGAGCATATACCTTCAAGTAGGTCACAGGAAGGGAGCATATACCTTTAAGTTGGTCACAGGAAGGGAGCATATACCTTCAAGTAGATCACAGGGAGGGAGCATATACCTTCAAGTAGATCACAGGGAGGGAGCATATACCTTCAAGTAGATCACAGGGAGGGAGCATATACCTTCAAGTAGATCACAGGGAGGGAGCATATACCTTCAAGTAGATCACATGGAGGGAGCATATACCTTCAAGTAGATCACAGGGAGGGAGCATATACCTTCAAGTAGGTCACAGGGAGGGAGCATATACCTTCAAGTAGATCACAGTGAGGGAGCATATACCTGCAAGTAGATCACATGGAGGGTGCATATACCTTCAAATAGGTCACAGGAAGGGAGCATATACCTTCAAGTAGGTCACAGTGAGGGAGCATATACCTTCAAGTAGATCACAGGGAGGGAGCATATACCTTCAAGTAGGTCACAGGGAGGGAGCATATACCTTCAAGTAGATCACAGTGAGGGAGCATATACCTTCAAGTAGGTCACAGGGAGGGAGCATATACCTTCAAGTAGATCACAGTGAGGGAGCATATACCTTCAAGTAGGTCACAGGAAGGGAGCATATACCTTTAAGTTGGTCACAGGAAGGGAGCATATACCTTCAAGTAGATCACAGGGAGGGAGCATATACCTTCAAGTAGGTCACAGGGAGGGAGCATTTACCTTCAAGTAGGTCGCAGGGAGGGAGCAGTGATCATGAGGGAGCATATACCTTCAAGTAGGTCACAGGGAGGGAGCATATACCTTCAAGTAGGTCACAGGGAGGGAGCACATGTCATGAGCATGCACTGTGATCAAGAAATTTAAACTAAAATGAATAACACATGAGTGAATTTTCAGTTCAATCAGTTGTGTAGAAAGTATAACGGCATAACTTTGCAAATTATAAAAAAAATGGTTTTGCTTTCTATTGCAATCACTATTGTTTACTGACTTATCAAATCAGTGTCAAATTACCAGTCACCTATAGGTAAATGACATTGGTGTGCAAAGAATGGACAATAAATGTCAAGTTGTAGCCTTAGTTCATGATAGTACTGATGAAAACCATCTGTCCACACAATAGCTATTTGTTTCATTATGTAGAAGTTTATTTTTAGGGGACTTCATCAACATACAAAGATAAAATCTCCACAAAAGGGATATGACAAGGATGCTAAATATTTACAAAAGCCAGATGCCTGGTACATGTATAAATTTGTTTATTTTATGTCTGGTCAAGTGAAAATTTTCAATAGTTTTAATGAAATTATTTGTTTGTTCCCAAGTAACATTTCTAATTGTTGTTGTATTTTGATACTCTAACCATGTATCTCCATTATTCTACAACCCTACAATTCTCCTTAAAGAATACCATGTATCACCATTATTCTACAACCCTACAATTCTCCTTAAAGAATAGAAAAAAAGGAGAAATTTTGCTAGAAACAATATTATTTTAAGTAACTAGTGAATTTGAAGCTACCCGGTGGTCGTTTTCAAGATCTGTCTGTAGGCTGGTTTGCTATAGACACTGTACCAGCTGCTGACAATTCTGATACGTATACACCAAGTTCACATGTAATCGGGTAGCCTGTTGTTTACTTGTCCCTGGACGACCCAAAATTGTATAAATGTAAAAGTGCATTCAAACTTATAAATCTGCCAATGGCGTTGTCAGATTTATAAGTTTGAAGTGTTGTGTGCACTGCTGTCAAACATCATGTATTCTTTTAAAAATAATATACATACACTTACCGAATTACTGTGACCTTGTGTTACAAATATAATTTTAAGTGTATTATTTAAACAATGATTGAATGGACCACATGGTCAGTATGTAAAGATGAGGTTTATTTGGGTAAGAGTGAGGAGAAAAAAGGAGATTGAAAACTAGTCTTTTTGTGAAAATAAATAATGTATAGGTAGTTAATATACTGTAGGTAACTGGTGTATTTTAATATGGGTATACCATATGTCTATTTGTTTCTAAAGCAAAGAAAAGTTGCTTATTTTAGTAAAAAAAGAAAGTACCATGATGAGAATACGGCAACAAATGTGAACAATTAAGAGCCTCTTTTGGAAAGGCACATTTTTGCTACAAAGCTGAAGTTTATAAGAGAAAAAAGAGTGTGCTTTCTCACCTGAAGTTTATAAGAGAAAAAGAGTGTGCTTTCTCACCTGAAGTTTATAAGAGAAAAAGAGTGTGCTTTCTCACCTGAAGTTTTACAGACATGTTTTATGTAACCGTTCACCATTTATATAGGAACTGTAAACATGTCAATACAAAGGTGTAGCAGAGGAAGCTTTAAAGTATTGCTCCACGAAATTTTCAATTTAATAAGATATGCTTGGGGTGGCATACATTGTGTATTGTACAATAGAGGGTATGTAGCTTTATATAGTGGGTAAGTGTCTAACACTTCCTTTGTTGACACTGTACATATATACATGGACCACCACAGCAGTACAGTAATCCTGGTTACTACATTGAAATGTAAATGTATAATCCCAATCTTCCCATAAAGCAGTTAGATGTCACACACACTGAATACTGGCAGTCTGCTAGGCTCAATTGTAAAGAGCTCTGTGAACATATGTGCTGTGCATGATAGCTAAACATGTTTGTACACAAGTTATTTTGTATAGGATTGTTATGTTTTATGTAATAAAAACTCGTCTACACCTGTACACACCACCCACATGTAGGCCTACAGGTAAAGGATTTGGTGCAAAGAAAATTTAAAAGTACTGGGTATATTTTCTCCACGTTGGTATTAATTAGTGGATGACATTTTACAATAAAACTTGTAGATTAGTATCGTAATATGTTTTGTTTTATACGACTGGCTATGGTATCTTGGATGTTTTCATGTGACTTTTGTTATTTTAACGCTATCAGTAACAAACTTTTGAAACATTCAGAAAGATACATCCACAGTAGTGATCAATATGTATACCTCGTGATTTTTTTCATGCATGATGTCACAAGTTAGTTCCAAATTAAAGTCCAGTGTGTTGGCTACAGATGTTTTTGCTTGACAGATTTTTAATCCTGTCAGAGCTAAGAATTGATGTGGCACAATGTTTATAAACACTTTTTACTACCAGCTTTTTAGAAAGTTAGATATTCTGCCTGCCAAGAGAAAGACCTATCCATAAACGGGCCATCCATACCAGGGCCATTCTCAATAATCTGGGCCATCCATACCAGGGCCATTCTCAATAATCTGGGCCGTTCTCAATAATCTGGGCCATCCAAATTATGAACCTTCAAAAGTTTCATTGATTTAACTTTTCTATTTTACTTTCAGTACAATTTCACTTTCGGGCTAACTGTGGCCCTGGCATGGACAATATTGGTGGGCTGTAGTAGGATCTACCTGGGGATGCACACAGCACTGGTAAGTTGTAAAATCTACCTGGGGATGTACACAGCAAAGGTAAGTTGTAAGATCTACCTGGGGATGTACACAACACTGGTAAGTTGTAAGATCTACCTGGGGATGTACACAGCAAAGTTAAGTTGTAAGTTCTACCTGGGGATGCACACAGCATTGGTAAGTTGTAAGATTTACCTGGGGATGTACACAGCACTGGTAAGTTGTAATATCTACCTGGGGATGTACACAGCACTGGTAAGTAGTTAGTAAGTTGAAAGATCTACCTGGGGATGTACACAGCACTGGTACGTTGTAAGATCTACCTGGGGATGTACACAGCACTGGTACGTTGTAAGATCTACCTGGGGATGTACACAGCACTGGGAAGTTGTAAGATCTACCTGGGGATGTACACAGCTCTGGTAAGTTGTAAGATCTACCTGGGGATGCACACGGCACTGGTAAGTTGTAAGATCTGCCTGGGGATGTACACAGCAAAGGTAAGTTGTGAGATCTACCTGGGGATGTACACAGCACTGGTAAGATGTAAGATTTACCTGGGGATGTACACAGCTCTGGTAAGTTGTAAGATCTACCTGGGGATGTACCCAGCACTGGTAAGTTGTAAGATCTACCTGGGGATTCACACAGCACTGGTTAGTTGTAAGATTTACCTGGGGATGTACACAGCACTGGTAAGTTGTACGATCTACCTGGGGATGCACACAGCACTGGTAAGTTGTAAGATCTACCTGGGGCTGTACACAGCACTGGTAAGTTGTAATATCTACCTGGGGATGTACACAGCACTGGTAAGTTGTGAGATCTACCTTGGGATGTACACAGCACTGGTACGTTGTAAGATCTACCTGGGGATGTACACAGCACTGGGAAGTTGTAAGATCTACCTGGGGATGCACACAGCACTCGTAAGTTGTAAGATTTACCTGGGGATGTACACAGCACTGGTAAGTTGTAGGATCTACCTGGGGATGTACACAGCACTGGTAAGTTGTGAGATCTACCTTGGGATGTACACAGCACTGGTAAGTTGTAAGATTTACCTGGGGATGTACACAGCACTGGTAAGTTGTTAGATCTACCTGGGGATCTACACAGCACTGGTAAGTTGTAAGATCTACCTGGGGCTGTACACAGCACTGGTAAGTTGTAATATCTACCTGGGGATGTACACAGCACTGGTAAGTAGTTAGTAAGTTGAAAGATCTACCTGGGGATGTACACAGCAAAGGTAAGTTGAAAGATCTACCTGGGGATGTACACAGCACTGGTAAGTTGTAAGATTTACCTGGGGATGTACACAGCTCTGGTAAGTTGTAAGATCTACCTGGGGATGCACACGGCACTGGTAAGTTGTAAGATCTACCTGGGGATGTACACAACACTGGTAAGTTGTAAGATCTACCTGGGGATGTATACAACACTGGTAAGTTGTAAGATCTACCTGGGGATGTATACAACACTGGTAAGTTGTAAGATCTACCTGGGGATGTACACAACACTGGTAAGTTGTAAGATCTACCTGGGGATGTATACAACACTGGTAAGTTGTAAGATCTACCTGGGGATGTATACAACACTGGTAAGTTGTAAGATCTACCTGGGGATGTACATAGCAAAGGTAAGTTGTAAGATCTGCCTGGGGATGTACACAGCAAAGGTAAGTTGTAAGTTCTACCTGGGGATGCACACAGCACTGGTAAGTTGTAAGATTTACCTGGGGATGTACACAGCACTGGTAAGTTGTGAGATCTACCTTGGGATGTACACAGCACGGGTAGGTTGTAAGATCTACCTGGGGATGTACACAGCACAGGTAAGTTGTAAGATCTACCTGGGGATGTACATAGCACTGGTAAGTTGAAAGATCTACCTGGGGATGTACACAGCACTGGTAAGTTGTAAGATTTACCTGGGGATGTACACAGCACTGGTAAGTTGTGAGATCTACCTTGGGATGTACACAGCACTGGGAAGTTGTAAGATCTACCTGGGGATGTACACAGCAAAGGTAAGTTGTAAGATCTACCTGGGGATGTACACAGCACGGGTAAGTTGTAAGATCTACCTGGGGATGTACATAGCAAAGGTAAGTTGTAAGATCTACTTGGGGATGTACATAGCAAAGGTAAGTTGTAAGATCTACCTGGGGATGTACACAGCAAAGGTAAGTTGTAAGATCTACCTGGGGATGTACACAGCACTGGTAAGTAGTTAGACAGGTTGGATTTTCAATATTTCAAATGAAAATGTTTGTACACACTACTAGTTTATCAATCAACAGATTATATGCCCATTATATGGATAATCATATTAAAGCAAATAAGCATCATCTACAGAATATAGAATAAAATTTATCACTTGAAGCCGACTAGTGTTAAAGATAAGCTTCAAATTTGCCTTTAAAAATAATCTTTTAACTTATCTCATAAATATCATACTTTTACGATGTAGCTTGACATAACCATGATTTCAGAAAAGTTCAGTAAAATTATACATGTTTATAGGTGCACATGTCTCATTCCACTGGCTTAGCACCAGGCTAATAGATTTTACGTCAGAGCTTGTGAATTTTTAATTCTGGATACTGGGATATTTTTGCAGTTTCCTCCCCTCCCTCTGTAATTATAGGGCAAATTTACCAGTTACCATTACAGTAAGCATTAAAAAGCAACATAATATACATACATAGAAACTAAATTAGAAGGGCAAATTTAATAGTTGGCGAACCTGGGTTTTACTGGTGAAGGACGAATATTTCCTGGTAAACAGTATAATATTTATTATGAAAATACAGGGCTTGTAGATATTGTCTGTTGGTAAGGACTTGAAATATGAAAATGTATTTGTACATTACTGTAGTTATATATAAAAAGAATATGACAAATGGGCATAATATTCATTGTAAAACACCGGTTATCCTAGATTGATCTTGTTTGGAAATCATTGTTATGACCCAGATAACTCAGACAGCTCTCTGAAGTATGTAGCACCTGAACTATTTACTATAAGTTGTGTTCTGTGTGTTTCAGGATGTTATATGTGGAATCCTGACAGCTTGCATGATAATGCCAGTCCTGCTACCACTGGTTGGGACATTTGACAACCTCCAGGTCACACACCCTCTCGCTCCACTGGTCACAGTATTGGGATCCTTATTTCTCTGCTTTGTGTATCCTCCCGTGAAGGAGTGGAACACGGCCCGAGGAGACACGGCCACGGTGCATGGTATAGGGAGTGGCATTTCGTTCGGTTGTTGGTTAAATTACTATTTGGGCTGGATGTATGCTGTGCCTTCTGCAGCCCCCTATGCAATCAGCGTCCCAACACCTGAATGGATCGCTCTCAGTCTGTTGCGGATCGTCCTGGGTGCCTCTCTCATAGTTTTAGGGAGACAAATTGTAAAGAAGGGATCCATCAAATTCTTGTGTTACATGTATGGGCAGGACAGCCAGGACATTCAATGTTTGCGTCAGATGAAGGTGGAAACTCCACAGAAGTTCATCACCTACTTCACCATCTCTGTTGGCTCTTCCTTTTTAGCACCGTTGCTGTTTAGGACCCTTTCTATCCATAGAGAGGCTTTCTACACAGAGTTCTAGTGATGCTGTAAAACACCTGTGGTAATTCATCAGGCATGTTGTTGTTACCCATTGGAACGTTTTATCACTGCTTTGCTTTTCTCTTATTTTACTACATTTGTTAAGATATGGAGGTACTAACTGAAGAACTGACACATTGGACTAAGCTAGGAATGACTTGGTCTAAGGGAGATAATTACCTCACTGAAGTCCAGGTGTCAGAAGAATGTGTTGTGTAGATAGACACTTTGGGAGATGTAGTTGTTTTAAATGTAGTGTTCTGTATTTTTTTTTAGTTTTTAATACTGCTAAAGCAAACCACTCAATTTTCAGAAAGGGTGACTTTCTTGTTCAGGAATATTTAGTAGAAAATTGTTCAGGCAATTTATTTTTATTTAGTAAGCAGAAAAACTACTCTGGTTTTTTCATAGACAATAGCAAGAAAATATCTATTGTATGTTTTGTGTAAAAAGTAGGATAAACTGATTTTTTTTTTTTTTTTCCATTAACAATTTCCTTGTGTCTTTCCTCCTGTCACAAAACAAAATATTTTTCACAATATTTATATTGTATTTATGCCCTATACCTCGGTAAAGTCTTAACTGGGTAAGGCCCTATATTAGTTTTTAAACTTCCTGTGATATACTCAGTGTTATGTTTATATAGCTTATATCAATGCCAGAATGTCAATTTGTTAACTGGAAACAAACTCATCATTGGTTCTCAAAGGAAGTACATGTACAACAATACATTTTACTCTTAAATTATTGTTGAATTTCTGAGGCCACCTTCTTGAAAAATCTGTAAGTCTGGCTATTATTCATGTCACTATTTTTTTCATTCGGCTGCCTTAACACAGAAACATTTTCTTTGGATAAAACTTTGTAATGGAGGCATACAAAATTATATGACATTGTCTGAAAAACATAAAAAAAAATAATATTTGGCCTTATAGCTACTCAAATCAGGCTTAATTATGATATCAAAGAAATATAGAATCAATTTTCTCCTGCGTATGATAAAGAACTAGTTAACATCATCTGGTTTGTAAAATTGTCACTGATGTAAGGAGATATGATTGCACTGATATAAGTAAAGTATCACTAATCCAGCACTCACGATGTAGTAGATCGGGCCACTGTATATTACATCTATTTGCGTAATAGAACACAAGAATGTGTTTCTTCTATGATCAGTAATAATGTTCTTTTTAAAAAAAAATCAATCTTCAAAATGATTTATTGCTGATATTCCCAAGAGGAAAATTCTGCATTGTGTGAACAAAATAGAAAAACTTAATCCTAATCTTTTGTTACATTCACAATGCTAAAAAGATATTTCTTTCATTTCAGTAAATTAAATAACTAAATACATTTCTCATATCAAACTGATTTATTTTCACTATGTATGTATCATATGGTTACCTATTTGTGAAGAAACTATATACTTTATGTATATGAGGCAAAATAATTTCAATTTTCATCTTAGACATATGGTGATATCATTGTCTCTGTGATCAGATCGATTCATATATATATGAAATTCCACATATTTATATATAGGCTGATGAATAAAAAAATCCAGATTTTCAAATTTTAAACCACAATATAACCAGCTCACGTGACCCATGTTTGTAGTGTCTGGGCACTCCCCATTACATTGTGTCACCTGATAAAAACATGTTCCTTTTTCTGTAACTCAGAAATTTTCTTATTGAAACAAGTAGAATCGTGACATGGTTTAATATGTACAGTAACCAAGTACATAAATGACATCCTTACAACAGATTGGACTCATTTTGTCATTTGTAAATTTTGGAACAAATCTGATGTGGTCATGATCAGTTGATACGGAGAAAATGTGTGTATTTTAATATGAACAATTGCTTGGTTGGCGAGTGTGAGACCTATCTGTCTCAGATTTATAGTTGGAAACTTACTAAACACTTGTGCCTGCAGCCTAAATGTTAGTATGTTTAATTCATGGTCTACATGTTGTCTGTAAGCTCCAGAAAGTATGGAACAAAAACAATGTATTGTCATTATCCTGTGTGTGGTGATCATGAAGGGAGGGAAGTTACATGGGGAAATCTAGAAATTTGAACAGAGTTGTCTGCCTTTATCATACAGAGAGTTAAGAGTTGTCTGCCTTTATCATACAGAGGGTGTTTGTACACATGTACACATGTCTGCCTTTATCATACAGAGGGTGTTTGTACACGTGTACACATATGTACTGGTTTGTTGTGATGTAATTTGTATGATTTGTGGTATGGAGCTTTTGTTTACAAACAATTCTAATTCTGTTGATTGCATTATATGACATAACTCAAGATATTAACACAGTGTGTAACAATCATGTGGAAAGGAACCAAAAAAGCCCACACAAAAGTTACAAGTGTAGTTCAGCAGGACCTGAAATCTTTATACTTACATTCACGTTAAACTAGCCAGATGGATTGGAAATGATCACTATACAGTTAGTCTTCATTGATATCTGGAAATCCACTGTTCTGTGTGTTCAATGGTCTGATAACACTGTACTCAATGAAGTACATGTATAAGGTAGCTGAAAGTTGCCTTTTGTTGTTACTTAACCCTTTCACCACTGTAGACCATAATGGACTCGTCCATAACAATGCATGGAAAAGTACTAAAGTTACATAGGGGTGAAAGGGTTAAAGAATGTCCGTTGTAGGGGTCAGGGATCATGGAAACGTCTCATTAGTCATATAGGAAATTGGTCCAAATTTAGTGAAGGAATACTAACTGCCAGCACATATCTGTTCTAGCCAGTACTTTAGGGGATAGATTAGCCTATCTCTGTTGTCCTTGGTATCCAGCTGACTCAAAATTCAGCCACTTTGGTAGGAAGGAACATGGCTGGGTTATTAAGGCTCCAGTGTATACATACATATGATCAGACTTTGACGCAAATATTAAACAACATTGATATTTGAATTACACGTGTAGCTTGTTTCATGATAATTGGCATGGGTCGAGAGTAAAACTGAAGCTCGTTGGCGAGTGTCTTTGGTCAGTGGGTCAGTTTCTATAAACCTTGGTTTAGGAGTGCTAGCATGCTTTGTGAGTACAAGACTGATCAGTTTTAATACATCGCTGATGTTTTTTTGTTTCCGTCCATAAGATGTCATACACTCCAAATGTGCTGTAGTTTGTGCGTTGCTGCGCCTTACCTCCGTGGAGCTAGTCCTGATGACTGTACACAGACAAGTCATACTATTGTATTAGACGTTGTAAGACTGATTATCTTTGTTCACCGTTTCCTTATCACCATTCCTTATACACCTATTTTAAAGTCACAGTACTCGTGATGAACTATGTAAAGATACTGAAATTCCTTTAACCACAATTGTGAATAACACGAAGTGACAGAGTTAGTTTTTCTCAGCATATGTCTATATATAAATACCTTGGTAGCTGTATGTTGTAAAAGTATGTTGATTGATTTTTTTCACTCTCAAAAACCGTTAAATCATTATTGTGTGTAGCCTGTGTTTGGTGATATAAACCAGGTTCTATGTATAAGGGGAATGTTCTAGTCTTGTACACATCAATGCTTTTCTTTATTCTCGTGTCTTTCATTTATATAAAACCTAAATGATATACTCACTTTTTACACAAATGTATAATTTATAATTCTAACATGTTCAAAGGCCATTTTAAAATAAAAAAGAGAATGGAAAATGACGATGGTAGGGTTTTGAGATAATATGTGAAAAGATAAAAGGAGAATCTAGATCAATCTATACCATTAACCGTGTAGATCGAATTAAAGTAGATTTATGTTTCACGTTGTTAGTGTCCCTTTACCATGGTAACTGTACATAATTTGAGTTTGGTGTGGTTGACAGTACAATGATAAAACAAATAAAATAAAACCAAAACAATGATAAAAATTATAGTGTTTAACAAAAAAAGATAATTTTCCTTAATATCTGATTTTGTTGTTGTTGTAAATTATGACTTAATAAAGAAGGGACAGTACTAACATCATTTATGAAGATTAGATATTTTAAGTTCACAGAATTTGAAATAATAGCAATATGAATTGTTTTATGTCCAATAATCTTGAGTTCTGCAACCTTTGTAATGATGCATTTCAATTTTTTCACCAGCTCAAAAAACACGTTTAGAAATATAACTTTTCCTGTAAATTAATTGATGTACTATGGAAGACAATACTCACGGAAGTACATTTATGTATCATTGAAATACCCAAACAATTTTGAATGATAATCACTCAGTATTGAAGTTGAAACTAAATACAGATAGCTGTATAGCCATAATTTGCCGATGATAAATGAAAATATTTCTACAATTTATATCAATGAAATTAAGGAGGCTGCTGTTTTGTGGGTAGGTAGGCAAAGTGGAAACCAACAACATTTTTGTCGTGACCTTATTTTATAATTACAGTAAATTACAGATTTTATACAACAGGCAATCAAATGTTATTTATCCCAGCTGTAATACTTACTGATCTATAAGTAGGACATGTGGCTGGTGTTGTAGACATGTTGTGTAATCAAGTTTTCATATTTATGTAATGTCTGTGAACATGTCGTAAAACTTTTTAATTCTCATAAAACACAAATACGTACCACACCTACTGTTGGATTATAAATCACCTGTAAAATTGTTTGTTTTTGTCAAGATATTACAGGATTTTTGGGGAGAAAATTGAAATATTGTAATAATATTTCATGGAGTTTGTAGAAACTCCTTTTTCCTGATATAATTGTTAATAATGAAAACCATTTCGATCTACTCGTAACAATATGGGATCACATGATGATGATAATTTAGGGACCACATATTTTGTTGAGAAGGGTTGGGGTGGAATACATGTACATTGATGATGTGAGAAGACTGTTTACGTAACTATTAATCAAGTGTTGTATTATGGTGATATATTACTTGATTACTTGTGATGAGGTTCAACGGACAAACTTCACGATGATGAGATTAGTGTGTAATCTTTCCAGCGTTTCAGATCTGTTATATTTATTTGATTCCTGTTGTCAGTATTCCTGACTTTTGTTTTCTTTGTTTCCTCCTGTAATTCACTTTGATTATCCGTAATACTGCTTGCTTACAGAAGCACATTATATTTTTCCTGACTTGATACTTACAGCTGTAAATTATATATGTGGATTTCTTTAGATGTATTTGTCTTGTATATTACAATATTTAAAATACTAATCTTAAAAAAAATCAAAACAAGACAATGTAGCCAGTGCAGATAGAAACAGTATTGATAAACTCACTTTGGCATTCTGCATAGGAATTCGTATATTTTGTATCAGAGTGGTTCTAAAATGCCTTGCTTGGTGTCAAAAAAAATAAAAAATAGTGAGATGGAGATCAAATTTGTCTAATCTGTAATTGTATTGTTTAAAAATAAATTTGATTTGAATGATGGAGCTACATGTCTTAGTATTGTTTTTAGCTCAATTGGTCCAAAGGACCATGGAGAGCTTATGCAATACCGCAGCGTCCGTCGTCCGTCCGTCAACTTTTCCTTTAAAATGCTACTAGTCCTGAACGGCCAAGTAGATTTTGACTAAATTGGAGCATCCTCAGGCCAAGGGGACTCAATTTTGTATAAACGGTGGGTGTGGCCCCCCTGGGGGCAGAGGGGCGGGGCCCAATAGGGGAAATAGAGGTAAAACCTTTAAAATCCTTCTTCTACCATAGGGATTAAGGGATTTTATTCTAATTTAGTCTGGAGCATCCTTGGGCCAAGGGGACTCAATTTTGTATAAATGGTGGGTGTGGCTCCCCTTGGGGCTGAGGGGCGGGGCCCATTAGGAGAAATATAGCAAATTCTTTAAAATCCTTCTTCTTCTGTAGGAATGAAAGGATTTGTTCCATATTTGGTCTGAAGTATCCTTGGGTGAAGGATAACCAACTTTGTATAAACCGTGGGTCTAGCCCCCAAGGGGCCTGAGACGCAGGGCCTAATAGGGGAAACATATCCAATTATTCTTTAAAATCCTCTTCTTCTTAACCATCTTCATTTTATGACAACGGAACAAAAGAATAGAACTTCCTGATATTATTACACAAGCTCTTTTGTAAGTTTCAAATAAAATGTGATAAAATAATGACATAAAGATGCAAAATTCAACTTTAAAAAAATGGTGCTATAGAGAAGCATAAAAAACTATTTTATCTGAGATGGTTGTGGAAGCACTTACATGTTTAACTTTATAATCGGTATGTAATGATTTTAGTTTTTAGGCCAGGTGAGCTTATGCCGTACTGCAGCGTCTGTCGTCCGTCCGTCAACTTTTTCTTTTGAACGACTTCTTCTGAAGAACTGTAGGACCTAGGGTCATGATATTTGGCAAGTAGGTACCTGGGATGTAGTGCTATAAAGTTTCCTCATTAAAATGACCTTGACCTACTTTCAAGGTCACAGCGGTCAAATATGTTAAAAATTTCAAATAACAATATTCTAAGAACCATTTGAACTAGATTCATGATACTTGGGTATGTTATGTAGACCAGCAGTTCGAATGTTTTCTCAGTTACAGTTATGAGGTCAAAGGTCAACTTTAAATGCTAGTCGGGGGTCAAATGTCAACTTGGGTTGAAAGCTTTAACAATCTTCTTCTCAATTTCAAAAACTCCCAGGGTCATGATATTTGGCCAGTAGGTACCTGGGATGAAGTGCTATAAATTTCCTTATTAAAATGACCTTGACCTACTTTCGAGGTCACAGGGGTAAAATATGTTAAAAACTTCAAACAACAATATCCTAAGAACCATTTGGACTAGAGTCACGATACTTGGGTATGTTATGTAGACCAGCTGTGTGAATTGTTTTCTTTATTTCAGTAATGGTGTCAAAGGTCAACTTTAAGTGCAAGTCGGGAGTCAAAGGTCAATATGGATTAAAAGCTTTAAAATAAAAATCTTAAGTTTCAAACAACAATATCTTCAGAACCGTTTAAGAGATGTTAAAATGTCTTGTGTTCTAGTTACCAAATTTGGTCTTAAGTTACCTATATGTCAGTTGCATGTAACAAAAGAAACAGGTGAGCGATACAGGCCCTCTGGGCCTCTTGTTTATTGATCTATTGATTTAAAAGGATCGGACAACAAGTCATATTACAATTTATAACAGTCCTCTCCATAATATATTATGATACATACGTTTTTTTTATAACAATATACGTTGATTAGGTAGCTATTTTATTTAACTGATGGGGAAGGCTATATCAATATAAGTATATCACTAATAAGTAGACAATGTAGTATACACGACTATTGTCAGATGTGTAATGGTTATAAATATGAGATACACCCATTCACAATTAAAATCGTTTCCCGGATTTGATGAAGTGGTGCACGTGTGTAAAAACTTCTGATTTGAGGTGAGGTCCAATGGAAACTGAGAAATACCAAACAAATTTAGTTCTAACCTAATATGAAATTTAATGCATTCAAACTTTGAAACAGGGGGATACGCCTTTCGTTGGTGAACAGTTGATACTCGAAGAAAGGGTGATGCATTCTCACCGAGATGTCCACAATTACAGACTGGGCTATGTATAAGGCTAACCCAATATTTAAGAGACCTACGTCGATGTCTAAGCTTAGTGTGCAAAATATCAAAGTAACGGTCACCAATACCACGGAATTAGATGCTATCTAAGTCCGTACCAATTAAGTAAATAGGAGGAGATTGTACATTAGAAGCTAAAGAATTTTTGACGATGGCAAAGATCATACTGAAATATCTAAGAGTTCCAACTGGGGAGAGTGGAAGGTATGAAAGAGGAATTTAAAAGAGAAAGCCAAAAACGAGAAATTCTATAATCGTTATTTCTTTAGGCATACCGTCATTTCAACTAACAGTAGACGGCATAAGTGAGTTTAAATAATCAGGAGTTAGATTGTTAGCTCACCTGGCACGAAGTGCCAAGTGAGCTTATGCCGTGGCGCGTCGTCTGTCGTCCGTCCTCGTCCGTCAACTTTTCCTTTAAACAACTTCTTCTGAAGAACGGACAGGCCTAGAGTCATGATATTTGGCTGAAAGCTTCGTTGGTAGGAGCCCTACAAAGTTTGAGAACGAAAATGACCTTGACCTGTTTTCAAGGTCACAGGGGTCAAATATGTCAAAAACTTCAAACGACTTCTTCTGAAGAATTAAAAGGTATAGAATCTTCATATTTGGCTGATGGCTTCCTTGGATGGAGCCCAACAAAGTTTGAGAATGAAAATTACCTTGACCTTCTTTCAAGGTCACAGGGGTCAAATGTGTCAAACACTTCAAACGACTTCTTCTGAAGAACTGAAAGGTATATAATCTTTATATTTGGCTGGTGGCTTCCTGGGATAGAGCCCAACAAAGTTTGAGAATGAAAATGACCTTGACCTTCTTTTAAGGTCACATGAGGCAGATATGTCAAACACTTTAAACGACTTCTTCTGAAGAACTGGTAGTTATAAAATCTTAATATTTGGCAGGTGGCTTCCTGGGAAAGAGCCAAACAAAGTTTTCGAATGAAAATGACCTTGACCTTCTTTCAAGGTCACAGCGTTTAAATATGTCAAACAGTTCAAACAGCTTCTTTTGAAGAATTAAAAGGCATAAAATTATAATATTTGGCTGGTGACTTCCTGGGATAGAGCTCACCATAACTTGCAAATGAAAATGACCTCAACCTACTTTAGAGGTCACAGAGGTCAACAACATTTTAATGGATTTGTTCTTGAGAACTAAAAGGAACGGATTCATAAGATTTGGCTGGTAGCTTTTTTGGAATAGAGCTAACAAATTTGAGAAGGAAAATGACATTGACCTACTTACAAGATCACAGGAAAAAATATGTCAAGCAACTTCTGAAGAAGAATCAAAAAGCATAGAATCTTACAATAATATTTTGCTGGTAGTTTCAACAGATGGAGCCAACAAAGTTTGCAAGGGAAATATTTGTAGTGCAATATAATATTTAATGAGAATGTTTTGCTATGACGGCTTAAATATTCAGGTGAGCGATACAGGCCCTCTTGGGCCTCTTGTTATTCATATTATATATAAGTTGAAGTTTTTTTCTATTGGAGAGATCGAGGTTCTAGACCAGTTCCAAAATAAAAATTATCTTCACTTCTTTATGAAAAATAATCCCGTGATAATACGGACACCTGTTCTCTGGGCTTTCTCTAACTTTTCCGTCTCATGTCTAGAACAGCCGTCCCACAATTCGTAGGCATATTCAATTAATTTTTTTCATCAATGTAAACACAAAAGTTTACATAATTATTTATCAAATTACATGTATACAATCAATTCAAACTCGATTCACAGAGAAATCAGTTCATTTACCTGTAAGTTTTAAATATAAACCCAATGAAAAATCAACAATAGTGGCTTTACATTTCTATGTTATATCTTAACGTAAATCTGGTTCAATCAGAGACGTATAACGCCAATGTAGTATATACGTCTCTGAATAAATAAAATAAAAAATCACTGTACATAATAATTAATGCACATGCACAAGACCGACTTCCGTAATCGTCGGTATCGACGGAGGAAGCTTACAAGATGAAGATGAAGATCTATTTAAGATTTTTATATTCGTTCATTTCGTGTGTTATTTGAGTATTACTAATGTTTTTGTACAATAAAAAACCTTTCAATTAATATGATTGTTAATCTGTTGTCAAAATAAATATAATATGTGTGTCATGTTTGTTGTTTTGTTAAGAATGTCTAATTCTAAAGTCTGAAATCATGTTGTATATCCGACCTTTTATAGCGATTACAGGCCCAATAGACTCTTTTTGACGAGTAGGCTCCCTTCTCTGTAGCTCTTCAATTATTCGAAAATGGCGACTACCGATCCACGGGAACAAGCACTGGGGGACTACAGAAGAAAGCTTCTTGAACACAAGGAGCTGGAAGCTCGTCTAAAAGAGAGTAAGGACACGAAATTTAATGTTTTCTTGTTCCATTTTAAAGTACAGGTTGTGCGGCAGAAAGCGATTCGGCCAATTGTTGACAACCGGTGAACGTCTACTGTCGATCTTGCATTGTCATCGTTGACTTTATGTTTATGTCTCTTTCTCTTTACAATGTGAATATAGTTACATGTGTCAAGAGTGGTGCTAAACCTGAATCTTCATCACATAAAATGATTACCGTTTGCGATGGTTCAATAATTTGAACATCGTCATGATTTACAGTACTGTGTCATAAACAGGTCCAGTACATTCTGCCGATTGAGCTACTGTATATAGCTGTAAATACCTATAATAGTGATTTTCTTTTTTAAGGAAAACGGAACAAGGTCGCATTTAAAAGAAGATTGTATCATTAGGTTGATAACAAAAGACATTAAATATGAATATTCTTTTAAAAAAAAAATGATGTAAAGAAATCGGAAATTTTACATTTATGGAAAATGAAAATAAACATCAAACTGTATGCTTTTTTTAGTCAACATTACCATTAACCTTATTGTTTTATGCGACTTTGCTTTAATTTAATGAAATTTGAAATCTGAGAAAATATAACTCAATACAGCTATAATTTATAGGTGTATATAGCTATATATGTCTTTATAGCTATATAGCTCAATCAGCAGAGTGTACTGGACCTGATAAAGGTGCTGAATACGATGGTGTCAGGATTTGTAAAATAAATATATATACATTAGACTACCGACCAAACATAATGCTTCAAAATGACATATTATCTAAAGTTCATATATATACCTAGGCTATTTCATTTCTACTAGCCATTATCGACTCCCTATTTACACCATAGCCTCTAAGAGCTGCTGACATGAGTAAGGCTAATGAGATCACTGTTTTAAAGTACAGTCGACGGGGTCGTGGAAAAACTTTGAGTTATCTGAGTATTCAAGTTATGCGGGTTCATAGATTTGGTATGAAATTTGCTGTTGGGACATAGCACTATCAATTGTTGGTTTTATTAATAGTTAATGCTTTTAATCAATCGATAAATGATACACGTAATCAATATAACAAATACAGCTATGTAATTTTACAATAAACACGCTTACAAAAATAGAGTAAGTTATTTCAGAAAAACGTACTTTCGTTTTTAAACGCGATCAAAATGGTTGGACCATTTTGTGAATTCTTTATTAAATATGAACTAGCCTAGTGATTAAATGTTGTTTTTGGCTAGTATAGATCTTGGCAAAGTCTTTCCAGGTCTGCATTTGTATTTGTAAGTCCGTCAAGTTTTACTTCTGAAGTGTTACATTTCAAACCGTACTATACCGCTATCTCTGATCTCGTAGTTTACAATGCGGAAATGATAGTGCGCAAGTCTAAAACAAATCACTGTAATGGAGCGTATGCATAGTTGATTCTGTAAATGAAAACACACAAACAAATTATATCGTACATGTGACACATTGATTCATTAAAGCCAAATATGACACCTGACACCTCCTCAACTCGATGTAATGAACAGCAATTATCGTTTTGTTCTTAAATCTCTCGATCGACTTTCAAAGCCATACTGGCACCTGTAAAAACATGAACCCGTAAAGCTGTCCTAGGTTGTGATTTTAACTGTGGAACTCTTTTATGCATGACCATGCTTTGTGACCAATTTTCCGTTTTGTACTGTCGTCTGTTTATGTGAACAAATCATTAAACGGACTCGCAGTAAGTACATATTACTGTTGATCAACATTGATGCAGTTTGTTTTTTATTATGAATAACATGGTTTTGACAGTCCGTAAACTTTACAGTCCTAAGCTTTATTGTAAATTCTTTTTTACCAATTTCATGCTAGTCTACTCACGAAAGATGTTCATAAACACGGAATGGCGAAATGTCGTACTTTTGCGTTTTATTTGTATCAAAGAATTAACAAGTGACAAAATGAAATTCAAATACTATGTTGGATTAACGCTATTGAAACCAATATTTTACTTCGAGGTATCCGAGTTTTTCGACTTTTCAGGGTTCGAATTATCAGAGTTTTATTTACTAAGATAAAGAACAGATTTGGCCGGGACCGGAGAAATACTTCGAGATAAACGGGGTCTTCGAGTTAAAAGAGTTCGAGATAACGTGGTTCGACTGTAACTTGTAGGTAACAGATGTATTTATCACAGATTTGAAAAAAATAAACTCAAATATCCATGTGTTTTTTTTCCAGTGAGAGAAAATTCCAAGGAGCTAACAAAACAGTACGATAAATCAGAAAATGATCTGAAAGCTCTGCAGAGTGTAGGACAGGTAAAGTACAAGGAGTGGTTCATAAATGTTCATCGGATTCCATACATGCCAGATATTATGGCTTGAGACAGGATATCACAGATTTTCATCTCCGATAAAGTCTCATGGCGTGGGACAAGAAATTAACGAAAGTCCTCAAAACCTCATTATTTTTAATAATCAATCCTGTAGTTGTTTTATCAAAGATTCCACAATGTTTTCAGCGATAATTCATGAGAGCTCCTGTACCGAGAAGCGGTCATGTGATTGATTCCTATACAAGAGCTCTTTGATAACTTCCGGGATATTAAGCTGGTGTCGATGGACCTGTGAGACCTTATTGATCTCAGTGAATAATATCAACAATCTATTCGAAAAATAGAAATAGATTCATTGCGTACATTTCTAATTGTTGTCATTCATTTCAATGCTAACTTATATAGCATGCCTGATAGACTGACACTCTGAGCCACTCGCAATGCCGACGGCTTCAGCATCAAGATTTCCTGTCAAGTTTATACCTTACATTGCTGGTAGAATTATATTATTAGCACATAAACATGTTTTCTGTTATGTTTGTAACATTACCTCATATTGTTGGACACTGTGATAAATGCAATGTCGATTTACATGTTACTGTATAAATAAGAACACCACAAAAGTGAGGAGAGTGGTAAGGTGCAGAAAGAAGACAAAAAAAGACTTTGTTCTGAAAGCTGCAATATTAATTTTGACATTTTAATGTTGAACACAGTTGCTTTTTCTCACAGCTGATTATTTCTGTCCTGTTGTTAAATGCATGTTTCCAGATTATATTACATTGCCCAGAAGTTCAAATGTAAATAAAAAAGACAATTGTCATCCTTTCAAATTCATCAAGATCCTTGTGGCTGCTGTGACTAATCCGTTAATCTGTCAAACTGAATTTCAAATTTTAAAGTGAAATCTGCTTCTTCTTTAAGTGTGATATCTCAAATGTGTGATATTCAGTTTTGTAAACTTTGTACAACTACATGTATATAAAATTGTATATACTTAAAACTGCCAAAGTCAAAACAATATTCCTTGATTATTTTTTAATCCAAGTTCCCTTAAAATGATAGTAAAACTCAAAGAGTAGTCTCCAGGAAATCTGGCATGTATGGGATTCCTGTCTAACTGTGATGGTTGTAATCATATTGATATATACTTCTTGTTACTTAATTTTGAAGTTCAAAAAGGACACTCAGTAAACCAAACCGTCTCTGGTTTAAACAATACATGCAGTTGAAATAACACCACAGACTACATGACCCTCACTGTATGAAGTCAAGTCCTTTATTTACAAATTCTTACAAAAGTGAACCTCATCAGGAAAGCATGTGATGTATTGTAATTGTTTTAATGTGGTGATAACTTTGGTATTGGATCACTCTCAAGTGACACTGCCATTGATGAAAATACATGTATATATATAATAATATATGCATAGATAGAATGATGGAAAGGGAGTTTGATAGAATTATAATAAATATCACATGTAACATATAACTGTATCAGTGATGACGATGTGGAATTTTATAAGAGAATCTATGATTTGCCAAAAATTAACAGTGTTTTTATGCTTTGTTTATCAGATTGTTGGAGAAGTACTAAAACAACTGACAGAAGATAAATGTAAGTATAATGTCGGGATTGCTTCATTACTGTATATGATCTTCAGTTCAGCCATAAAGCTTTAACTCTGCACAGTTTCCTGTTAGTGTTTCGGTTAAGTTGTACTGTACTACATAAATGTAATGGACTTTGACAGCTGGATATATATAAGCTCTATTGTAATCTGTGCTGATTTTAAACCTAATTAACTGAACAGTTATTTTTTCTTTTAAATTTTCTATTTTCAGTCATCGTAAAAGCTACCAACGGACCAAGATATGTTGTTGGTTGTCGGCGCCAACTGGATAAGTCGAAGCTCAAGCAAGGAACCCGTGTTGCCCTGGACATGACAACACTGACTGTCATGAGGTCTGCCTTGTTTTTAGTTACTATAGTATATATAGCACTAGTTCCTTTGGACACCCAAATAATTAATTTACATATGCATGTAGTCAATATCTCTGAAAAGTCCTTTGGGAAGAACTAATGAATGTCTTGCTTTCAACAAATTCACATAGATAGTAAACAAATGTGATATGTGGTAATATATATTATATATATAAAACATTTTAAAAGATGGTTCAACTGCTCTTTCAAACTACCTTACTGACTATGTGGAATACAAAAGGATAATCTCTCTTGCTGTACCCCTAATATTCTGAGGAAGCCCATAATTGGGCAGTAGATTTCTCTTAATATCACTTCCCATTTGTCAGAGAAAAACAATGATATTAACAGAAACATGACATAAACAGAATACATATTTTCAGATGTTTTTCATCCCTCAAAACCGGAAGTGAACTTAGTCAAATGCCTAAGTGATGTGGCTCTACAAAGAAGATTGATATTTTGTAACTAACCTTGTTCTTTACCCTAGTTGAAATATAGATATAAGTAAATAAGTATAGAAATAAATATATTATTTGTATTTCATTTCAGTAGGCAGTTACATTTCATATAGTTAGTAGCCTAATTTCCTTAGATATTTGCTGCAAGTGTGTAATCGAAGATAGTATACATGTTAAAATTAGTTGAAAGAATACATCACACTTGGCATCAGAAAAGTTTACAGATGTTAGACTGTCCTAGCTCCCCTAACCACAGGTGAATATCATGTTAATAAGTATGTAAGTCAACCTATTGTTTAACAGTCAGCCAGGTGTAACCTATTGTTTAACAGTCAGCCAGGTGTAAAAAATACCCTGTTAGGCCGAGGCATTGTTTACATAATGCATCCAGGGTGTGACAGAAGGTCCCCAGGGCATTTAAATCAACATATTACCACCATTTCCCTGTATTTTTTTATGACAGTGGCCAAAATAAAGTGATATTAAGAGAAATCAACATAAAATCAGGTGATAATAAAAGAACTGAATTGCATAGATTATATAGCAGGAAAAACGGTGCATCAAAAAAACATGATAATAACCGAAAAGTGGAATGTACTGTACTGAATACTTGGTAAACTTTAGACAAAATATAGCTATATTCCTGTCAGTTGTAAATTTTTAATCAGTACCCCATGATTATAAATATTAAATATTCTGCGCTTGTGACACCTAGTGAATTCGCATAAACTTCTTAAAAATTGACGTTAACATGGCCTCAATCCTGCTTTTGGTGAGATAAGTAGCTGTCAGGGGGAAAAGCTTCTCTCGCTTATAATTGACACAAATATAAGTCATTGAAATTTAAATCTTTTCAAACCAATATACTTTTGGTATTTAGGGAATATTTTACTGCAGTTTTAACCATAGATTTTCTGAAAGATTGTGGCACTGTAACTTTAACTTGTGTGGTATTTAATTACAATCTTTAAAAATTTAGTTTGACACTTTGAATACAAAATGTACAAAAGTAAAAGTGTCCATAATGCTAAAATATCCCCTACCACACTATTTCATTATTGAACTGTAGTGACAGAATAATATAATATATACCTACATTAATTAGTATGTTGATTACAGGTATCTACCTCGCGAGGTTGATCCCCTGGTGTACAATACGTCCATGGAAGATCCCTACATTAATTAGTATGTTAATCACAGGTATCTACCTCGCAAGGTTGATCCCCTGGTGTACAATATGTCAATGGAAGATCCCTACATTAATTAGTATGTTAATTAAAGGTATCTACCTCGCAAGGTTGATCCCCTGGTGTACAATATGTCAATGGAAGATCCCTACATTAATTAGTATGTTAATCACAGGTATCTACCTCGCAAGGTTGATCCCCTGGTGTACAATATGTCCATGGAAGATCCCTATATTAATTAGTATGTTAATTACAGGTATCTACCTCGCGAGGTTGATTCCCTGGTGTACAATATGTCTATGGAAGATCCCTACATTAATTAGTATGTTAATTACAGGTATCTACCCCGCGAGGTTGATCCCCTGGTGTACAATATGTCCATGGAAGATCCCTACATTAATTAGTATGTTAATTACAGGTATCTACCCCGCGAGGTTGATCCCCTGGTGTACAATATGTCCATGGAAGATCCCTACATTAATTAGTATGTTAATTACAGGTTTCTACCCTGCGAGGTTGATCCCCTGGTGTATAATATGTCCATGGAAGATCCCTACATTAATTAGTATGTTAATTACAGGTATCTACCTAGCGAGGTTGATCCCCTGGTGTACAATATGTCCATGGAAGATCCCTTCATTAATTAGTATGTTAATTACAGGTATCTACCCCGCGAGGTTGATCTCCTGGTGTACAATATGTCCATGGAAGATCCCTACATTAATTAGTATGTTAATTACAGGTTTCTACCCTGCGAGGTTGATCCCCTGGTGTATAATATGTCCATGGAAGATCCCTACATTAATTAGTATGTTAATTACAGGTATCTACCACGCGAGGTTGATCCCCTGGTGTACAATATGTCCATGGAAGATCCTGGTGATGTGAGCTACAACCAGATCGGTGGTCTCGGCGAACAAATAAGGGAACTGCGAGAGGTAACATCAGAAATTCATTGAACCCATCAAGGCCCACGAAAAGTAGAACTTGATTTAAACAAGTACGTTTTGATGTAACTAAATCGGGACATGAAGGTTATTTAAAAAATGTAAATTATTACCAGTCATTCATTTAAATGAAGGAACAAGTAGAAGTTTTCATGAGAATACCCCATGGTAGTCATACCATGACTACAGTACAATATATATATGAATCATACATGACCACTTGACCGCTTAGCCAAGCAACAACTGTGAAGTAACGTTTTATATCTTCTGCTCAGGTCATTGAACTGCCACTGTTAAATCCTGAGCTGTTCCAGAGAGTAGGTATCACCCCTCCAAAGGGCTGTCTCTTATATGGCCCCCCGGGCACCGGTAAAACACTCCTAGCTCGGGCTGTGGCCAGTCAGCTGGATGCCAACTTCTTAAAGGTAAGTCATAAGCTGTTTTATTTATAAATCACTGACGTGGTTTTCGTGTTGAAATAGTTTTTCTTTTGTTGATGACCTCATTACATATGTTAACATTAAATTCACATTTTCATCGAAAAATGATACTAAAATTTAACCTTGATAAAAGAAAAAACTGTTGTGCTACATTGAACTTTAAGTTAATTTCTCATATTTTTAATGTCTTTGTCACAGATTTTTTTTCCCGTAATATGTGTTGAGTCCGTTTTTGTTAAGATGATGCAAAATTGTGTCATGTTTCCATATGAAAGGATTTAATATTATTTTTATCAAATTCAAATCCCTGATTGATATGTCAGATGTCTAATTAGTATGCAACTGTCATATTAATATTTAGTGTCAGTAAGATGTGTTACTAATGACTGTTATATTTTTGATTAGTATGTGACTTACCGATGTCTAATTAGTATATGGCTGTCTGTTGTCTAATTAGTATATGGCTGTCTGTTGTCTAATTAGTATATGGCTGTCTGTTGTCTGTTGTCTAATTAGTATATGGCTGTATGTTGTCTAACTAGTATATGGCTGTCTGTTGTCTAATTAGTATATGGCTATCTGTTGTCTAATTAGTATGTGACTGTCAGATGTCCAATTTGTGACTGTTATACTTAGATGTCTAATTAGTATATGGCAGTCTGTTGTCTAATTAGTATATGGCTGTCTGTTGTCTAATTAGTATGTGACTGTCAGATGTCAAATTTGTGACTGTTATACTTAGATGTCTAATTAGTATATGGCTGTCTGTTGTCTAATTAGTATATGGCTGTATGTTGTCTAATTAGTATATGTCTGTTGGATACTTTTTTGTGTTTTACAGGTTGTCTCGAGTGCCATTGTAGACAAGTATATTGGAGAGAGTGCAAGATTGATCAGAGAGATGTTTGCTTTTGCCAGAGATCACGAACCCTGTATTATATTTATGGATGAAATAGATGCTATTGGTAAGGTGTTTATTATATTTACAGTTTTACAGTCATTTCTTAAACTAAATAACCAGTTACAATAAGTCATTATTGAAACAAGCATGCACGAAATCATCTATTTGTGAGTACAAACATTCAGAAAAACAGATAACCTTTATAAATAGATCTTCTTCAATTTTGATGTGTTTTTTAAATAAACAAAAATTACATGTATGAATAAAAGATCAACTGTCGTGATAGACTGTCATTTTGTGGTGAAAGCCAAGAAGTTTGACTTTGTAGAAAGGAATGTGATGTTGAATAAAATAATTGATGTAATAGATTTTAATTAAACGAAAAAGATCATAAACAAATAAGTTATTTGTTTATTTTGATGTTGATAGGTAATCTCACTGTCATGTTTTGTTTTAACACAGGTGGCAGGAGGTTTTCAGAGGGAACATCTGCAGACAGAGAAATTCAGAGAACTTTAATGGAGGTTAGTTTCTGACTGGTTCAACTTATTTGATCTTGTGTTAAAAATATAATCCGTCGTAATATAAGAAGATCCTTTATTCTCTATAGCATGTAATCGGGGGTTATCCTATGTAGCTTTGGAATATGCCATCAATATATTTTTTCCCATTTTCTCATGTAGAGAAGTTTTATTTGTCGCTGATGTCTCAATTAATAGAGAAAACTGGAAAGAAAATTATCAGACAAAACAAGTCAAAATAAAGCTGCAGCTTCCTGAAAGTAAGATATTTTGATTGATTTGTAGCGCTAAAGCCAAGCCATGATGCAGAGGAAGTTGGCTGTTTTGCATATTTCCTGTGTCATGTTGATGGGAAACATAAATAAATAAGGGGAGGTAATCTGTGTCTCATTTGAGTCTCATTGTTCCATCGTCTGCCTGAGCATTATCATAAAGTATTAACAACTTTTTTGTTTGACAGTTGTTGAACCAGATGGATGGATTTGACGCATTAGGACAAGTGAAAATGATTATGGCAACAAATAGACCGGACACACTAGACCCAGCCTTGTTACGACCGGGACGCTTAGACAGAAAGATCGGTGTGTAGAAATAAAGCAAATCAGAGCTTGGACATTTATCACTTCTGTCACAAATACTTTAGAATGATACTTCAAAAAACAAAAGTTTAATTCTTAAAAAATAAATTAAAAATTTGGCCTTCAGCTTAGAGAGCCTGGAAATGTAGGATTGTTTATCCTGCCAAAAATAGGTATAAATAGTAAGACATAAAAAATGTGTTTCCACTTTTGATTACCGTTATAATTTTTAATGCCAATCATAGTATCTGTTTAGCTGATATTAACAAGAACTGTCACAGTGTTAAATGTGGTCTCTCTACAATAACCCATATAAAAAATATTTTACTAGGTCAATTTAAGCATACCTTACTATCTATCTACTCTTTCAAAATAATCCGTTTGTTTGGCCTTATGTAATTGTATACAGTGAGTTAACGTTTATACAGATACGTGATAGTGTTAGGAACCGTTACACTGTCTATATAATCCTTGCCAGGGTTATTCATTGTACTAATATATCTTATCTCCTTGTTTATTTCAGAAATCTCTTTGCCAAACGAACAGTCAAGATTAGAGATTATGAAAATCCATGCACAGCCAATAGCCAAGCACGGGGAAATAGGCAAGTGTCTGTCTTGTGGAGGTTTAATGTGGTTTTAAACATTGAATTAGTATTAAAATTGAAATTGTTTTATAAATTGAAATATATGTTGGGACAAAGATACGATAAGATAAAAATATAATGGGCCAAAAATAATATGATAGGAAAGGAAAAGTATACCATGTAGCTAAAATAGGATGGAGCAAATATACCATGTAGCTAAAATAGGATGGGGCAAAGATACCACGGCCAAAGATAAGTTGATAGGATGGACAAGGATATCATGGGACAAAGTGATGGGGGAAAGATAAAATAGAGCAATGTTGTTGAAGATTAGATGGGACAAAATTACTGTGTGTTAAAGATCTGATGGGGCAAGGATAACAGACCACAGGCCCAAGGCTAGAAATAGTTAGAGACAGTTTATATACCTGCAGTTTCTGCCTAATTGTAATTACAAGTGTAACGGTAAACAGATTTTCTCTCTAGATTTACATTCTTTTAACTACATTCCTATCACTTTTATCTGTTTCCAGATTGGGAAGCTGTGGTGAAGTTATCCGACGATTTTAATGGCGCTGATTTGAGAAACGTTTGCACAGAAGCAGGTAAGTTGGTTATTAGTTACTTGCCAGGAAAGTGCCTGTATTTATTCTGTAAACTATGTTGAGCACCAATGGCGTATTTATTGGTCAGTTTCTTTATCAACATGTCCATGATGTCAGTTTGCTGTTTTAAGATGAATGGATTTTAAATGTGCTAAGCTTGATTTAAAATACCAAAGGTTTGTTTTATATATTTGGTCTATTTTGGAGGACGTCTATGTTTGAGGACTATGTATTGATTAAGTTTAGTGAGAAATTTAGAAGCCCTTACTGTAAAATGTGTTGAGAAAAGCTATATTCCGAATGTTTTCTCATTGCAAGACGATACCTTGTGATAATCTATATAATTCTCATTGTTTTTCAATCAAGGTATGTTTGCCATTAGAGCCGAGCGGGACTATGTAATAGAAGAGGATTTCATGAAAGCCGTCAGGAAAGTTGGTGACAACAAGAAATTGGAATCTAAATTGGACTACAAACCCCTTTGATTGTTTATCATATTTACAAACACCATGAACATCACATTTTTCATCGGTGGAGACAGAATTGGACGATTATTGTTGATGAACAACAAACTTTTACTCACATGACTCATCCTCAGTGCGACACCATACACTACATATATAGAGTGTGTTACATTGAATAAATCTACAGGTTTATGTATTTCTGTATTTGTTTTCACTTCATGAAGAAAGACATAATCAATGTGTATTGGATTGGTTGAATATACCAACAGCATTTCTGTTATAAGTGGAGGTCATTTATCGAAAGTTTTTATATTCAAAATCCACAAACCGGAATTATTTTGATCTTCCTTAGCTGGTTAGACAATTACAAGTCGGGTGTTGCCCGAGGTCTCATAATATCTCCAGCCTTGTTACACATGCTTTTCCAAAAGTTTTTGAGAATTGTTTTATTAATATAAAACAAGTTCCAGGTAATCAAAAATTTTACCTGAAAGAGTGGATGAAGAATGACAGGTATGTTGAGTTTTAAGGTTTAAGATTAAGAATATTCTTACAAGTTCAGAACTTTTGCTATACTTGGGGCTGGTACTGCTAGGTAGTGTTATAAACACAAACTTGCAACAATTATGAAACAAGTATTTCGAACTTAAATATAAAGCACTCTTGCTGACTTGGATGGAAATGCGCAGATGTTGGAGGAAATCAGAGTACACATAGAAAACCAGTATGGTTGGTCAGGTGACCCTAATACCTTGTCATGTCTGATCGGGGAATGGAATCCAAGTTGTCTCTGTGAAACACTCTATCCACTGCACCACCCTACCTCATCATACCTACTACCATAACCTTTCTCTAAGACTTGTCCTAGTTGAGGAATGACTGAAGTAACATGTAAACTGAATCATATATAACTTGTCTTTAGTATTCCAGATCTCCTTCCAGGGGGATGGTGTAACCCTGACCGTGACATGTTGAACAATCTTGAGTTAGCAATGGAGCTAGTTCTTCCATGTGCAAATTCTCTTGGTTTAATCTATATCTTTTCTATTAGATTTCTAAACAGTTTTTGATGCCATTTTCCTCTGGTCCGGTATATCACAGGCAGCAAGTCATCAAAGTTATTATATATCACAAGTTTAATTTTCAATATATTTGTCGCCAATATATTTGAGGGCTTATTCATGATGATGAAGCTGATATTTCAACTGTAAAGGGTGAAATTCATACTGGGGAATTATGGGTTTATTGTTGAAGGGGGTTTATGGGTTTATTGTTGAAGGGGGTTTATGGATTTATTGTTGAAGGGGGTTTTATGGGTTTATTGTTGGAAGGGCGAATATTTCACATTACTAAAATTCCCAGTATACAGTACAAGAGGAATTTTGGTGCCAACCATCAATAGATCTTCATTACTACCTCGGCAATAAAGTTGAGGGGTATACTGGATGTCCGTCTACCTGTCAGTGAGCAGAAGTTTGTCTGGAAAACTCCTTAAATGCCAAGGCAGATTTCAACAGATTTTTTTTACATGATCAGTGCATCGTGTAGCTGGGCACCTAATATTTGTTTTCTTGTTCAAAATTTTCCTGAACACATTTATTGCCCTTTGTTACTCATTTCATTTTTGACTCCTGGGATAGTTTGCGAGACAGACTCCTGGGATAGTTTGCGAGACAGACTCCTGGGATGGTTTGCAAAACAGACTCCTGGGATGGTTTGCGAGACAGACTCCTGGGATGGTTTGCGAGACAGACTCCTGGGATGGTTTGCGAGACAGACTCCTGGGATGGTTTGCGAGACAGACTCCTGGGATGGTTTGCGAGACAGACTCCTGGGATAGTTTGCGAGACAGACTCCTGGGATAGTTTGCGAGACATTGGTAACAGTTTGTTTAGAACTTGTTGTATTAGGAAACAGCTGACAATATTTTTAACAGAACTTTCCCACTCCCTCTCATCACTTCATATACTTAACAATATCTTCCATTTCGACCATTTTGGTGGCAGAGCAGGGATTTAAGTTAAACTTTGGCTAATACTGGTAGTCTGTTATCTGTTGAAGTCAACAGTAAATCTAAATGCATCTTGTGGTAACTTTTGGTCAAAACTTCCTACTGCTGTTTGTCCTTTCAATGGTTTATGTTTGACCTATTTATTAGAACAGTTATGTATAAACAAGATGCCAAATGGGCCTGTATCACTCACCTGTCATACATTCTGCATTTTTCACTTTCAAAGAGGTGAAAATTTCATAGACGAAATACTACTTAACTACACATTCCCGAGAGACTTGATTACTTCACATCTAATGAATCTTCATTGGAGTATTTCAACATATTTTTAGAACCTGGCTTGAAAGGCCTAATGAACTTATGCTGTAGTGTGGCATCCAGTTTTTACAAATTTGAGACCCTTGAACAAGGTAATTTATTTGAACCAACTTGATTATTATAGCCCTACATCCAAGCATGCTCCTGGCCAAATAACACCCAAGGCCTTTTCATTTGGTTGTTTAGGAGATGTGGTGTAAGGTTCAACAAATGTGGACTCCAGGTGTTACACATTGCACCCCTCGAATATGCCATGGCAAAATTAAAGACAGAGATAGCTATTCGCTAAGTCTCTGGTAAAAATGGCATCGCTTGGCTAATGCTTGTTCTTTGAAGATTACAGAGGAGAAAAAACCTGACTTCAAAACCAGTCAATTTTACTGTTATTCTTCTGGACAATTCTTTTGATGTACATCAAAGAATCCGACTAGTTTTCCTACATTATCTAGAAGGTGGCACATTCAGAGCCTTCAATTTTGTTTTGACATTTTCAAGGTGTGCAGAGAATGCTACCCTTCGAGTATCAAAATGCTGGGAAATTGGCGCTTCAAAAAGTAATTTACTAGTAAACACACTAGATAACCTTCATCCCAGCATGCTACTGATGAAATATTGTCACCCCAGACCTCTTCTTAATTCAGAGATAGCCGTTAGTTTTTTATACGCCCACCAAACATTTTGAGGGGGCATATTATGGTATGGGGAGTGTTCGTCCACACTTTCGTTCCACAAGATAACTTGCTTAAATATTGTTCAAATTTGATGAAACTTGGAATACAAAGACATCGAAGTTGAGCAAAATGTGTGCACAATTTAGTAGCAGACTGTGCTCTGATTGGTCGACAGTTTCTGCACAACAGACTTGTCAAATATGGCTGGATTCTCATGAAACTTGGTCAATATATATACAATGACGAAGGCTGAGCTGAAAGGTGAGCAAAACCTACACATAATTTATCATTAATTTTGCTAGAATTCTTTGATGCTGAAAAAAATAAAAAATAAATAAAGTAGAAACACACTTCTATTTGTTTTCAATTTTTATTCAATATGATTATTTCAGATATAGACATTTATATAAACTAATTTTTATCTTTATCTCTCACTGTGTAATGGAATGAAACATGTGTTACAGCAGTAAAATGAGTTGATTTGATACCGTTCAGATGATTTATATAGATTAATTCATTACTTTCATGCAACAACACAATGACAAAGAACTGTGTTCCATATACCAGTAAACGCGTGCCCAGTCAAACTCTCACCTTCACTGGTAAAATCCATGTTCCCCAGTATCCATTTCACCCTTCATATGTAATGACTATATATTGTATGTTGTGCAATTTCACTGTTGCAATAAATTCTGGAAGGAAGAAAAGGTGAATGTTTAACTGGGACAAAACTTTCTCAGTATACAGTATCCTGTAGTTCTTGTCACTGACCTCAGTATACAGTATCCTGTATTTCTTGTCACTGACCTCAGTATACAGTATCCTGTAGTTCTTGTCACTGACCTCAGTAGTTCCTGTCACTGACCTCAGTATACAGTGTCCTGTAGTTCTTGTCACTGACCTCAGTATACAGTCTCCTGTAGTTCTTGTCACTGACCTCAGTAGTTCCTGTCACTGACCTCAGTATACAGTGTCCTGTAGTTATTGTCACTGACCTCAGTATACAGTATCCTGTAGTTCTTGTCACTGACCTCAGTAGTTCCTGTCACTGACCTCAGTAGTTCTTGTCACTGACCTCAGTATACAGTATCCTGTAGTTCTTGTCACTGATCTGACCTATATCAGTATCAATCACATCAATGTGATATTACAACCACTTTGTAAAATGTCATGTAACCTCGCTATCTTTGTAACTTCAAGGACATCCAATAACATGATAGCAGCACTGACATGGACAACAAGGTCAGCCAGTACCACCATACCAAGTCTAAGGTTTCACCAGCATACAATAACATGATAGTAGCACTGACATGGACAACAAGGTCAGCCAGTACCACCATACCAAGTCTGAGGTTTCACCAGCATACAGTAACATGATAGTAGCACTGACATGGACAACAAGGTCAGCGAGATCAGTACCACCATACCAAGTCTAAGGTTTCACCAGCATCCAATAACATGAAAGCAGCACTGACATGGACAACAAGGTCAGCGAGATCAGTACCACCATACCAAGTCTAAGGTTTCACCAGCATACAATAATCAAGAGTTGAGCATCACTTCCTAGTGAGATACAATGTACTTGTAATCACTGGGTTGCCTAAACCGGACCAACAGCAAAATATACAAAAACCTATAGTACAAATGATAATAAATAAAAAAGGTATGTACAAAATGATTGGGAAAACTTTATAGAATGTATCATTTAACACAAAAACTGCTAATGTACATTCACTGCAACTTGAAGTACAATTGAAATGAAATACACTTTTATGTACAAATGAACTGATCTTGATGTAAAATGAATTGAAAAGATGGTTCAAGTCCTTGTATACCCATTACTGCAAACTATATAAAAAGTGACCTTTTTATTTAATAAATTTGACTGCCTTGCAGTGACTACATGTCACAACAATAGCCCAGAAAGTTATGATCTGAATTATCAATTTCACATGGCAGTGGCAGACATAGAGGGGTTCAGGGACCTGGCAATTTCCTTAGGAAAGAAATCCATTTCCTTAAGTTTCCCTACGTGGAAACCCCCAACAAGATTTCTGGATCTCTCCAAGACTCCTTCTGGATCCACCACTAATGTGACTCCTCAACTTATTACATTGTCTAATTACAAAACTGTCCACTACTAATGCGACTGACAAAGACATACAAACAAAGCCCCATTAAAACATTATTTTTTCTACACTGACATTTAATACTTGAAGAAGCATGGCATGTATGCAATTCTTCACAGCTGCAAGCTTGAGAAGGATGAGAAACCTACCTGTAGTTAAGTCAATAAAATCAACTGAATATGGGAAAGTGAAAATAATGTACACCGATATGCCTTCAGTAATGGGTTTCACGAGTTCAAATGAACCATATGCAAATGTATTTGAAATGCTGCAAATCAATAACTTTTACACAAATACTCTTATCACTATTTCAGTAAAAAATAAAACCTTACCCTAGGACTTCAATTAACTACTTTTATCCATAGTTGGGTCTCCTGACTATTAATGTTTTGCAATTAGAGTTGATAATGGTTGCCCCACCATAAAACCACGAGTCTTGGGGTGGGATTGACATTTTACTGGAAAGTGGGGTGTGAAAGATGTACATGTATTTTTTTATAGTATTTATGAGGTACGTGTATTTAAAATCTAGATCATAATTCAACTTGAACGACAAATAAACTGCAAGCAGAAAAATTGAAGCATCAAGAAGTTTAGAATTTTTGTGAAAATGTGGCTTGCACTATTAGAAAGTATACGAGGACTAATAAATGAGGCTACAGAAACAAGATCGTGGGACAGTAGATAAATTATTGCACTTGATCAAATTAATGCAATTGAAATGGTTAAAAATAGAAGAAAAAACATATACCAGCTATCAATTACAAAATTAAAAAATCCATTCAAATAATTGTATACAGCATGTAGACAATGGATTCCTCTCATTAACACACCAATAACACCAATAAATTCATGCAAGCCACCATCATGCAAAATTCAGACTGACCAGAAAATTAACTATTTTCTTAAGTCAGACATGGACAAAAGTAGTTATTTATCACCTATCATACCATGATAATGATACAGCCAGAATTGCTTTTGGAATTTTTGGTACTTCTGTGGTAAGTAACCGGTTTATTTTTCTATTGAGGTCACCTGTAGTAGGCACTGTAAAGTCTCTTGCACACATTTTTTTTTTATATCCTGATCAGAGTTTAGACTTTCTGTACACACAACACACTATGCTCATAATTAGAGTTGGGCATTCTATATGGTGTGTTATGTCTCCAAAGAGCTTAGCACTCTTAGCACACTTCTCATGTTCTTCTACATACGGTAGTACATTTCCAGATGTACCTTTTAGCACTAGTCATTCTGCACATTGCTTAAATGTAAGCTGTTCGTTCCTTGGAGTTATTAGTCCATAACCGTTACACAAGACCCGATACGTGGCAGTCCATTGTTTATATCACGAGGCACTGATGGATTTTGTGGTGTTAGACGGAGAGGAAGAGTTGGGACGGCCAGCAATCAGTGGTGGGGGTTGATGTAATATCGTTCTCTGGGGAGGAAGTAATCTGTAAAACAACATTACATTGACTGTAATTATCTGAAATTTTGATTAACCATAAATTGCCAAAAACTATTGTCCTTTTACTTTGGCAAATGTTCACATCTAACATCCTAGTCTTTATAAAATTCTATAATAATAACTTAATTTATGTTCCATCATGTTGATTTAAAAAGGCTGCTTGTTTACCTGGAGTGTTGAGGTACTGATGGCACCCGCAGGCTAACAGATCCCTGAGCTTGTTTGAGGAGAGGTGGGGGTGCTGTTGAGGTGGCAGATGTCCCATTCTTGTCATCTGTACCGATACCATTCATTTCTATCTCATTTGTGTCAGTTTCCATCTGTCAGAAAGGACGACAATTTAAATGTTAATGAAATCAGGTTAGTTAATATTTTATAGTCAGCATGTTTGTATTTTCAGCTCATGCATTGAAATATTTCACAATATTCTGAATCTCGTTGATTTAAACAAGAGAGCTAGAAGGATCTTAGTGCCCACTATCAAAGATTCTTTATCAGATCTACAAAAGATTATCTTTTACTGGGTACCGACTTCGCTTGACATTTCGCACAGCTACTACATTGTACTTGTATTACCAAGTCCCATGTTGGAAATCCTAAACAGGAATATTGTACGTAAACTTATCCCTCGTAATGTCATATGTTATTTGCTAACTTCAACTCTAGAAATTCAAAATCCAAAATTTGATATACATAACTAGTGACCATGGGAAACCTTCATGTGGGAAATGGCCCTAACAAACTTTAACTCTCAAAATTCAGGCATTGCTTCAGGATGAACGGAATGAGGATTTGAACAGCCCACCATCAGATGAGGATGGGCTCAAAAAAAGGAAAAGTGCTAGAATACATGTTAAAAATGCACTTTTTGAGTTATAAAACATCAGTTTGTGATGGAATGGAGATTTGCTCGACCTTTTCCTCATCTTTTGTTTCCTCATCATCCCTAGTGCTGTCTGTCCCATGTTCTGCTTCATACTCTGCAAGGACTTCATCTAAATTATATCGCCGTCGAAAGTTTACAAAGAAACTTCGTACATGTGCTTCTGTCTTATTTCCTATCACTTCAGCAATAGCCTGAAAGTCTTTTCCATATTTTCTGACACCTGCCAATGAAATGAAATTGTATTTCATTAGGAAAAGGTATCTACATAGATACTACAATGTATGAAATTTACAATTAATCACTAATACAGCATAAAGTGCATACTAACTTCATTTGCATAATCTATGTCTTGATCTTAGTTTAAGTTGCTTTGAAACAGTTAGCAAGTTGTTAGCAATCCACTGGGATATATTGAGATGAAGGCCCAGGGTGTTAAAAGGTCCAAACAAAATTATACGTCCATTTAGGGTTTCACCGAGCAAAAACGTAGGGTCAGGTAAATTGACATTTCACATTGTTTTTCGAACAAAAAATCCATTCTGTCTAGGAAACAACAGACATTGCCAGTGCTTTGTCTAAACCTGAACACACAATTTGCTGCTTACCTTGAACCCCTAGTAATAACTCCTCATTTGTCCATTTTGCATTTATACGTTGATTACTCTGAAACATAAAAAGTGAATCACTTGCAGTTAATTATGCAGTATTGATGCATGCTACAAAATCTAAATGATTTCATCAGGATTCCATCAATTCGTTTTACACACTTTCACCCAAACAAACATGCATCCACTAAGTTTATCTGGTTGATCCTGTTTGGTGAAATTTTCACTTATTTCCAAATGGATCATAAAGGTATTTCTTTCAGAGGCAAATAATCTTTATAGAGAGACAATTTCATAAAACTTAGTTTCAATTATTTCTTAAATGGTCAGGGCACATTATTCATGACAACATAAATGTCTAAATTACTTCATATTTACAATTTAATCCTTATGAAAATTAAATGGTCCTCTATTATCAATTTTCTTAAAATAGAAGGATGACGGATCACAGACAATAGTCTGTTTGTATTCCCAACCATGGCGATGGTTGGACAGATCACAGACAATAGTCCGTTTGCATTCCCAACCATGGCGATGGTTGGACAGATCACAGACAATAGGCCGTTTGCATTCCCAACCATGGCGATGGTTGGACAGATCAAAGACAATAGGCCGTTTGTATTCCCAACCATGGCGATGGTTGGACAGTTCACAGACAATAGGCCTTTTGTATTCCCAACCAGGGCGATGGTTGGACAGATAACAGACAATAGGCCGTTTGCATTCCCAACTATGGCGATGGTTGGACAGTTCACAGACAATAGGCAGTTTGTATTCCCAACCATGGCGATGGTTGGACAGATCACAGACAATAGGCCGTTTGTATTTCCAACCATGGTGATGGTTGGCTGAAAATGACATCAAACAATTGACATCATCGCTTACCTCTGGAGGTTTCAGTTCATCTATGCCACAGGTCAGCTTGTGTTTCTGCATGCTAATTATCTGTTTATTATTCTGTACCTGCAAGTTAACATTTATAATAACAATTTAACCCATCCTTTTTATACCAAACAAAAGTTCACAGATCACATAAACAAAAGGTAAATCAGTAAACTACCAGTATGCAGCAATTATTTTCTGTTTCCTATCTAACAAGTGCCTCAGGAACTTAACAATTCAAGAAAGTTAAGGATTGCAGAACCTTCTAACACAACAAAAAATAACCATAATAGATGGTTGTTTTGAAGCAAGCTGGTAAATTATGGTGAAGAGTACGTAACACATAGTGTTCATATGGAAGTAACTTATAAATATTGCTACAGTAGAACTGAGATTGATAATGAGGAGATTTACCTGTCGTTTGATAATCAGGCTATTTACCTGTCGCTTGATAATGAGGAGATTTACCTGTCGTTTGATTGAGACCAACTCTCCATCCAGTGCCTTGAGCAGAGCCTCGGCCTGACCAGACAAACCATTACCAACTAGCTGTAAATCCTCTGTGTTGATGAACATTCCGCGCGGAGGCTTTCTTTTGTGTTTCATAGGATTGTGTCGACTGTGGCCATGGTCATGTCGCTTTGACCTTATCACACCTGTTCTCCTGTTTTAACCACAATTGTAATTTTTGCAAGTGCACAGGATTCAGTTGTATCTCCATTAGCTCTACTGTTTACAATACATCAAGTCAAATTTTCAAATTCACTTAACAAAATGAATATGACTGTTTTTGAGAATAATGTTCGAAGTTGGTCACTTTGAACTTCAGGAGATATTTTTCTCAGTTTTGATAGTGAGGAATCTTTAATTGATTTTCAATTTACCTTAAAATATGGGTCAGCTAACCAATCCTTTATATATGTACAACAAAGTCTGGACCTAATTACGACTCAGTAACATTTTCTGGTCCTTACCACTATCATATTTTATATCAAAATTGCAGTATTTAATGAAGAAATGAGACATGATCATATAAATAACATTTTCTGACATTGAGATATCAAATTATACCAACTTTATAAAACTTATATCTATCACACTGTGACAGATATCAAAAGTGTAACAATATCACTTTTGGAATCGACAAGTCAGAATGGTTATATCAATTCACTTCATTCAGAGCCAGTTTTTCTGTTTGGATACAGATGAAGCTACAGTAGAATAAGTGTTACCTGTTTGCTACATACATTATCAAGGTATTAAGTTTCCTACACAATTTATACCATTTATGTAAGCAAAGCTTGACAAATATTAGCAGAAAATAGTGTGCATCATGGATGGCAGGCATGACATCGTCAGGTAATGGCACCAGATTACGCTATTATATATGCCCACTGATTTGATGCAGTAACCTTTTTCGTCATTGTAGGTAGTTTTGAAATGTATTAAATAGAAAATTTAATACCAGTTGAATTCCAAAGATATTTCACTCATATGGCAGAACATACCATTATTTCCACTGGTAATTTTCACATTTTTTCACAAAAAATCTTGCTATACTGCCATACTTGTGGAATATATGCCAGGGTATATGGTATACGACAAGGAATGATTAAATATCCTTTTATCATGACTTGTACATACCTTTCATGGTAGAATTCTCTGTCTTCTTTCTAAAACCATGATAAAAAAATAAAACATTAATAAAGACCAACTCTGTTAAGTATATTAATTTTCTAAGTATATATGTCATTACAACCACATGTTTATCAAAGAGTATGCCTATACAGCATATTAAAGTTCACTCTCATATCTTTCCTAATTAAATGCAAAATGATCTATTTAATGTACGGAAGAGGTTTTCTAATCCACCATTTATTGAATTTCTTCATCAGACATCTGAAGTAAAGCCCTTTCCCACCCTAGAATGTAGTATTTCCTATTACAGGTGTACGAATAATTTTAGTTGATTCAAACACTCAAAACATTTTTTTTTAAATCTGTTAAAGAATTCTTCTGGGAGGAGACAAAATGGATAGTTATAGGGAAGGATTTTGTAGGGGGCATGATCATGAGCAGACATAAAAGAAAACAGATACCATTAATGATGTGAAAGCCATGGTCTAAATTTTTCCAGTTCATTGTATCTGATATTGTTCCTCTGAGGAGCTATGAAGTGGAACATATTTAACCTCTGAACATGTCGATCCGAACTTGTTATGTTGGAATAAGTATAGAGATATCTCTGTTCCCACCCCTATAAAGGACACATTTACAAGTACATACCTCATTTTCCTTGGAGTCAGAACTGGTTATGTTGGAATAAGTATAGAGATATCTCTGTTCCCACCCAAATACAGGACACATTTGTACATACCTCATTTTCCTTGGAGTCAGAACTGGTTATGTTGGAGTAAGTATAGAGATATCTCTGTTCCCACCCAAATACAGGACACATTTGTACATACCTCATTTTCCTTGGAGTCAGACCTGGTTATGTTGGAATAAGAATAGAGATATCTCTGTTCCCACCCCAATACAGGACATATTTGTACATACCTCATTTTCCTCGGAGTCAGAACTGGTTACGTTGGAGTAAGTATAGAGATATCTCTGTTCCCCCCCCAATACAGGACACATTTTAACATACCTCGTTTTCCTTGGAGTCTGAACTGGTTATGTTGGAGTAAGTATGGAGATATCTCTGTTCCCACCCCAATACAGGACACATTTGTACATACCTCATTTTCCTTAGAGTCTTCTTTACCATTTTCTGTTGGTTTATTGTTTTCATCCCCAGATTCATCACTATAAACAGAACAAAACCCTGTATACCAGTATTTCAAACATAAATCAGTATTGGTTTGTTAGTACATATATTTTTTTATGCGTTTTTCTTTGATTGGGGTAAATTCATGGCTTTGTAAATACAATGAATAGCAGTGTAATATGCTTGAGGGAAAAGAACAATTCACTGTTATCATATACAGATAATTTTGTTTAATTTATAAATGGTAACATTTTACTACCTGTCACCCGCTTTTGTGAGTTTCTTTGCTTGTCTGTCCATTAGACTTGTTCGTGACCGGGTTTTCTTCCATGAGTAGTAGTACTTGACAAGGCTAGCAATGGATTTGTCTGGCAACTGTAATACAGCAATAATAATTTACTTTTCAAAATCCAACATTACTGTTGGCATGCCTGTACAACGTCAGCACATCATGCTAGTTTTAAAAAGCATTCACATGAGGCCAAAGGGGCCTAAAGACAGTCACCTGTTTTAAGTGTCCTTTCTTTAATAAAGTTCCTAGCACTATACTTTAGAAAAGTGATGGCTAAATATTATGATTCTTTTTAAAGTTCTTCACATGTTCATTGAGTATTAAAAAAAAATAAACCTCAATATCAAAGTTGTTGCTTTGTCAGAGAATTTTGTGACATCACGTATCAAGGAGCTATCAATTGGCCAAATATCGTGTCATTCCAGCTTTTATCATTTTTACCAAATAGATCTGGGAACTTGAATATGGGTCAAGGTAATTTCTTTTCATAAAATTGATGGAAATACATTAGACAGCAAGCTGCTGACATATATATTACGACTAAGCGTTGTTGTTCTTCCGAATATTCAATCTGAGTGTTTTAACAGATTAGCCCCCTGTGACCTTTAATAGAAGTTAAGAAAATTTCTTTTCTCAAAATTAAACATTGAAGCACTCAGGTAAGAGGTTGAAATGAGGAAGGGAAGGAACAACCTTCATTTATACAACACTGAATTCCCTTGGTCCAGGGCTGATCCTTGCCAAGTTCAGTAAATTTCCCTTCAGTAGTGCATTATGGACTATGGTCTAAAAATCCTGTAGGACTTGAGGTCATATTTGTGAAGAAACAAGTTTAGATCCTTTCGATCACATGATCAAGAAAGTTTGTAAATGTTGTGAAAAATATTTTCATCATCTGTGTCATTGGTGACAACTTAAAATTCTTCCATCTTGGATCTGTAGCTATCGTCTTAATTGAATTTGTGACAAAATATTACCCCAAAGTCTGTGACACCATGAAATTTTTACAAATGTACTAATTAAATCCACAAGTAAAGTATCCTACCATTTGTCTGATGCGGTGAAAACTCTTCCCATGAAAGCTGAATGCCTGTTCAAATAGTACTTTATCCTCCACAGTCCATTCATCAGGGAACGGGGTAAAGTTGGGCAGGTCTGCTAGAGCTTTCTCGATGTTGTGTTTATGCCAAAACAGCATACCAAGGGCCTTAAACACAAATTAGGTAAGAGTTATGTCCCTTGTAATACTTGCAGATTCAGAATATTAAATGCAAGAGTGCAATTCCACAAGCTGATGCCAATTACTATAAGATTTATTCTAGTCAGGGCTAGGAAATTCGAAATTTTACCACAAAACTTGGGTGAGTAGAATATTTTGAAATCTGCCTTCAAAATTACATGTAACATATATATATACTTACTTGTTCTGTATTGTAACCATGCTTCTCCTTTGCTATTGTAACGTAATCATCAACTGGAAGATAAAGGGATGTGTTTTTGTTATATGTTTATTCAAGATATATAATACCTGCATTATTATTACTGATACATAAATTTTGCCTCAGTGTCATTATGACTCAATATACATTTTGTTTTCTTTTTCTTTCTTTCAAAAATTATATAATTTTTCACATATTTTGCCTCCATGTATATATCATGAGAATTGATATGCTTCTTTAAGACTATAATAAACACAATGTCCCGGTGACCCTACCAGTCCATACCCTAAAAGTGTGTGGCATATGTTGGTAAAGCAAACCTACCCACCATATTATTTTAAAGGTGTAATGTGAAACATACAAGCAGGGCTTTCAACCGACCCTTGAGAGTATTTTTTGACTCTCTAAAATGCAAATTGACTCTTGAAATTTAAAGGACAGGTCTACTTGATCTATGTATGGCTTTCCAAATTCAGGGAATATTAAATTTGATTATGAAATTATTGAATTTCAACGATCACCTGAAAGCCATATAAAAGGACTATTTTCCTTTAGGAATGAAGCTAAATTTCAGCCCCAAAATGGCCTCCAAAATAGTCCTGCAATGCCAGGCCCATTACACACTATATTCTTTTAATGATGTTGCAATTAAAAAATGCGAAGGATTTTTCCCTAATATTATTCAACACTTTTGTCAAGACCAAGAATAAAGCATTTTTAACCTATCCTTTACTGAAATTATGTTACAATAACATAACATGATGTATAGAATGATTTTTTTCTTCTCAAATATGTACAAGAATTTAGAAAATTATCTGCCATGTGATCTCAGATATTTAATAAACTAAGATTTTTTTTTTAACAATACCTGGTCAAGTCATTAAAGGACAACATTGGGTATAATTAAAACCAAGGCTGTTAGCTCCCTGCTTTCCTGTTTATCATTAAGTAATGATGAGGGCATTTAAATCACAATTTGTTAACACTTACCATTGATATCAGACAGCTCACTCCCAGGAGCCCACACCAAGATGGCTTCATTTCGTTGATCTGGTCTTAAATCTGAATAAAAAATTAACTCAACTTTCAAATTTGCATAATTGCTTTCTACAGTGGGCATACATATCCATACAATGCCTACTAAACTTAATTATTTAACATTATCACTGTTAGTTCCATTTATAAGCTGAAGAATAAACTTCATAGTAGGAGGCTCAAGAGCTTAAATCTCAATACTGTTTCCACAGAGGGAAGTAACCCAACCATTGGCGATGTTCCTTGTCATTTATATATATATACTGTCACGCAAAAGAAATGCATCTCCTATTAAGGATCAATGGCCCACTGCAGTGTTTTTCATATACAGTAAACTCCCCTTAATTTTGTTTTGGATTTACTTGCCGCACAGTTTGGCGAGGACACTTCCATTGACCAGGTAGGTCTGTTTGTCATTCTTAAGGTATCAGGTTAAGAACAGTCTGGTATTGAAATTTGATTTTTGACGAAGTAAAGAATGCCTAGACTAACAAATTACTGATGCAAGTAACAGAGCAGTACATTTACTGTTGGCTAGAAACATCTAACCACTGTTAATAGAGCTCTGAATGCCCACATCTCATTTTAGACTGACAGAAACAACTGCCCCCAAACTAGCTAACTGCAGGTTACAACGCCCCGTTACGATCAGTTCATGAGGTTGCAGCAACTGCGCAACTGGTTTAGAAGTGTACAATCAACTGCAAATGGGACACCAGTGATACATAATCTAAGAATAAGCTGAGATACTGTGCCGAAACAACTTTGTTCGGACAGCGTTAAAGCTGTGTTGTGATGCAGTAGGAATGTCCCTTAATCGTCATTAAAGGTGGAGCCAAGACTAATTATTTCGACACCATAAAAATGGTGCCATGTACTCTTTTGACGAGTCAAAGTTTACATTTTACTGCTCATGCTCAGATTGGCATGAGCGTGCACTCACAGGTCAACCACTTGCGATTCATAAATTTTGAATGCACATATGCAAGCATCAATCAAAACTCTTTAGCAGTTTTCTGATCAAAATATGTGTAATAAATTATTACCACATCTGTGGAAACCATCTGCTCAGAAAGATAGTGACTATACATATTAATTTTTCATTAAGGAGAGGGGTTCCAATCACAACCCAGCTCAGACATGCAGGTATCACCAGTTTGAGTGGGTATTTAAAAAATATATTGTTTGGCCAATAATTACTTACTACTAAATATTAATTATTAAAAATGAAATTTTGTGAAGATTTTATACAGAAACCTAAAAAATAATGTCATTTCAGCTAATAATTATGCATATGAAACATTTTGGACTATTGTTATAGGACGAGGAATAGCGATATAGATAGTGCCGTCGCTGGGGCTTGAACCCGGGAATCTTGGCTCTCCAGCCCGATGCTTTACTGCTGAGCTAAAAGGGGAATTCCCTACAGCTGCACTTGTAAGGCAACATAATCAATGCACATCTTTTACACTATTTCCCCCTTTTGAAACACCAACCCAGGTTTTTTGACTCCCCGCCAAGCGTTCTCCTACCTTGAACGGGGAGGGTCAACGGCACCAATTTCTATAGGACGAGGAACAGTGATTAAGATTGTGCCGTCGCTGGGGCTCAAACCTGCGACCCTTGGCTCTCCAGCCCGATGCTCTACCGCCGAGCTAGAGGAAAATTCCCTACAGCCGACACTTGTAAGGCAACCTAATCAATGCACATCTTTTACACTATTATTCTGTCTTTGCGTATTGCAGAGTTATCTTCTCTTGTGAGCAGGTATTGATTGTTACGTCATTGGTTTGTGTGAGAAAATTACGTCATTTTCTCAAAAATTGATGACGTTACACTCACAAACAAATGATGTAACAATCAATCACAAGAGAAGATAACTCTGCAATACGAAAAGACGGAATCAGAACAGGTAAGTTGAAAGAACACTTTAAACTAATTGAATACAATTCAGTCTGAACTGTACAAGTCAAATGATGTAACAGGAATCTCAAAACAATTTTATATGGCTCAAAAATTGTTTGTTATGAACAAGTTAGCTTGTGCACATAACAAGGGAGATAACTCAAAACTTCTAACTGACAGAAATTATAATCATCAGTGACAGCCCATAAATTGAATCTGCATAAATACAAATGATAAGTTTCATTTTCCAAAATAAACCAATTTATTTTTAGCTCACCCCCATTACCATTTAGTATTAAACTATATGTTACTGGGTTGAGTTACATGAAAACTAAATCACGACTTAAGCAAACTATGATTTGTATGGAGAGAAGTTAATGATTAAATACAAATAAAAATTAAGATTCTACATCTCCCTCCAAACAAATCAGTTGAAAACTTTTCCTTAAACTGCGATTCTGCATTAAATCTGAATTCGAAAAATGTTCATAAAAAAGAAGAAAAAAAGGGCAGGTATTTGCTATATTTTTTTTTACATCCATCTTTGAAATTCTTCTTCAAACGTATAGCAAATCTATATATTTAAATAATAAACATTAATCTAAAAAAATAACAATAACGAAAATGTATCAACAATCACATTGGTTATTATTTTATGTTATGAACCTGTTTTATCCCAACGTGTTCCTGATCATACTCACCTGGGGTGAACTCTGGAACTGTTGCTTGGAAATCATGTCCAACTCTCATTCCACCACCCTCTTTAAGAAAGAAAATAAAGAGATAGACTATTTCAAACTAAATAATGGAAGAAAAACATACATATTATTTTTTTTAAATTAAAGAAAGCATCTCTACGATATCTCGTTAGCACCATGTGTGAAGCAAACGGCGATAACTTACCACGATCAGAGTCGGCGCTGTCGTCGTCTGAAAAGTCATTCGGACTAGCACAACGAGAACGCCTTCCATTTCTTATATCTACGACATTTCTGTCCGCCATAACCATTATACCAACAAAAAATTAAATTTTCTTATTTACTTTAACTTTTGTAAACAGTTTTTATCCTCACACGGAAACTACGGCCGTCGGTTCCTCAAGCAATGAAGAGTGTAATCACTCCGTTGTTTTTGATGCCATCCTCATTTACGAATATAGTTCCGAATCGATCTTATGTTTGTAACACAATTACGAATTGATCATAGAATAAAAGGCAAGCTTGTTTATGAATATTAACTTAAGAATCCCACTTTTGTCGTCTACAATTCAGATATCGAAGTTTGATATTCTGAAGCGAAAAGTTCCGTGAACGATAAATATCATTGCGCTTAGCTGGTGTGCTACTTCTGCAAACAGTGTACACATTTCGACCAATTATGACTTGTTACTAAAAGGCCTCCATACCTCTTGAAAATTATTATCCAAAATTTAGTATTTTCTGAGTTATGAATTATGAAATAGTCGTATGTTTGTGGTCAACATATTTCATAGTGTATGTATACGTGTGATTTTAGCACTATTTGCCTTAATTACAAATTATCATATATTGGTGAATATTCTTCATAGACAGTTCAATTAAGCATTTGAAATGTAATAGACATACTTCTTATCATGTGTTTTGATGTTAGAATTGTGATATTTCCTTCAAGAATTGATGTAAGAGTTTCTTCATTTTCACGACTACACAAAGAAAATAATATAACGTTTGTCGTGTATAGGTCACCGTACTTTCTTATTCCCGTTCTTGTTGAACGCAACGTGTCAGAACGGAAAGGCTTTGACTCAACGATCTCAACGCCTTCACCAAACAATGACAGCATTGGCAAGATTTGAATGTAGCATATCAAAAGTAATAACAATGAACGCATTAAACATCGTATTCATCTTATTATAATTCATATTAACCAAAGTTGAATTACAAAATAAATGACCCTTTTCTAGATAGACCGGTATTTCGTGATCAGCCTGCGCCGACCATGCACAATCTTGAACGCAACGTAGGCCTACGCGACTGCGTAACTTAGGGTCGATGTGAACGACGTCGGTTATCGACGTTGCTATGATGCAATCCTGTTGAACGCTCCAATAAAAACATAGGAGAAGGTTGCGCGGATTACTGAGCCACAAGCGTACATGATGTTCATAATATTTTAACTGTTTACACCTAGATTCGTGGATCATTTTTGAAAATCGATACCGCGCCTGACGCCGGGGCTTTCAAATGGGTAGCCATTACAGGGACACCTTAATAGGCCTAGTAATAACTGCAAGATCAACACTATAGTATTGTAGTATGTATGCCCATGCATAGACATATTACTCCGCCCGAGGGGGGAAACGGTAGCAAATTGAGTGACAACTAGGCACGCGGCGGTCCTTGCTCGGTATTTAAGGTTTCGTCACCGTGGCTATACTATACTGACTGATTTTAATAAAAGTCTAAAATGGCGTCGGGCTGCACACTTCGTTTAAGCTTATCTCACGATACCCTATTCATAACATCTCTCGCAACGATTAAATCACCACTATATATAGCTACATCTCTCACAACGATTAAATCACATGTAGCTACATCTCTCATAACGATTAAATGACCTACAGCTACATCTCTCACAACGTTTAAATCACCTCTAGCTACATCTCTCATAACGATTAAATGACCTGTAGCTACATCTCTCATAACGATTAAATGACCTGTACAGTAGCTACATCTCTCATAACGATTAAATGACCTGAACAGTAGCTACATCTCTCATAACGATTAAATGACGGACCTATAGCTACATCTCTCATAACGATTAAATGACCTGTAGCTACATCTCTCACAACGATTAAATCACCTGTAGCTACAACTCTCATAACGATTAAATCACCTCTAGCTACATCTCTCATAACGATTAAATGACCTGTACAGTAGCTACATCTCTTATAACGATTAAATCGCCTATAGCTACATCTCTCATAACGATTAAATCACCTGTACAGTAGCTACATCTCTCATAACTATTAAATGACCTGTAGCTACAACTCTCATAACGATTAAATGACCTGTACAGTAGCTACATCTCTCATAACGATTAAATCGCCTCTAGCTACATCTCTCATAACGATTAAATCACCTCTAGCTACATCTCTCATAACGATTAAATGACCTGTACAGTAGCTACATCTCTAATAACGATTAAATCGCCTATAGTTACATCTCTCATAACGATTAAATCACCTGTACAGTAGCTACATCTCTCATAACTATTAAATGACCTGTAGCTACAACTCTCATAACGATTAAATGACCTACAGCTACATCTCTCATAACGATTAAATCATCTGTACAGTAGCTACATCTCTCATAACGATTAAATCATCTCTAGCTACATCTCTCATAACGATTAAATCACCTCTAGCTACATCTCTCATAACGATTAAATGACGGACCTGTAGCTACAACTCTCATAACGATTAAATGGTCTTTAGCTACAACTCTCATAACGAATAAATGACCTACAGCTACATCTCTCATAACGATTAAATGACCTCTAGCTACATCTCTCACAACGATTAAATGACCTGTAGCTACAACTCTCATAACGAATAAATGACCTTTAGCTACATCTCTAATAACGATTAAATGACCTCTAGCTACATCTCTCACAACGATTAAATGACCTGTAGCTACAACTCTCATAACGATTAAATGACCTTTAGCTACAACTCTCATAACGAATAAATGACCTCTAGCTACATCTCTCATAACGATTAAATAACCTTTAGCTACATCTCTCATAACGATTAAATGACCTTTGAAATGCACCACTACAGGTCGGGGATCGAGAAAAGAACATACCTGCTGTTAACCACAGCATGCATCGTAAGAGGCAATAATGTGGGAATTTGTGCCCTCTACATGCATGGGGATACAAAAGCGACCAAAACAAATCTACTGCACATATTGCAATATTTGGGATATTTTTATTTCCCTTTACCTTTAATTACTTTTAATTTCCTAGCACCTTGCTTGGCAATATCTCACTTTTGGCTTTAATGTTGAATTCGCCCGGTTGTGGTTCTGTACCCAGGCCGGGACATACCAAAGTCTTTAAAAACGGTAGTTGTTATTCCCTGCTTAAAGGGGCTGGTCGGGGGAAAAAATACAAAATAAATGGGTCTAAAAGCGTTCTCTGGCCTTCCAAAAGTTATACCACGGCAATATGATGGTCGAGTTCTGCTTGCAATGTCCAGTTTTGACCACTGAAATCTCGGGGAAGCCCCGCGTAAATTTAGCGCATATCTATTTATATATGTCACGTGGTTGTTTCGAAAGTGAGGCAGTGAAGATAACAACAATAGCACGCCGTCATGTGCCATGTCGGACTCAACTAGCGGACAAGACAGCAATACTATACGTAAATAATTGTTTTCAAAGGTCATGTATGATGNTGCCTGTCATGACTTTTGCATGCATTTTTTTCTTTCGCCGCGATGTTTACATTTGGCCTTGTTGATGACGCGCGTGCGGTAAAATTACATCTCTGATCTTGGTCAATTGAGAGTTTTAGACTGTCAGGTGACGATTTAGGATTTCTTTAATATAATTATAATTATTACTCTTAGGGAGTGAATTTCAGCAAAATTTGAATCGGTTTATTTCATAAGAAGGTATTTTAAACATGTGTATGCCATTTTAGCAAATATGACATTTTCCCCATTTTCCCCCCGACTAGCCCCTTTAACGTTCAGCATTTAGGGGAATGGCAACAACTGGTTCACCCGTTGTCCGTATGGAATGCTGTGCTGGGTGCCTTCCGCATGGTTTTTCAGTGAAATAGCACTGTAAAGTCGGCACCAGATCCGCGCTATCATAAGGAGGCAAATATGCCAATATACCCTGTCTCCGAAACATACACACACATGCATGCATACACACATGAAGCACAGGGGCACGTTAAAAATGTCTGAAATACACACATATGCTATACTGATATGGGTCACAACACACATAAACTATTTATGTGTGTTGTGACCCTTATCAGTATAGCATATATGTGTGTATTCCAGACATTTGTAACGTGCCCCTGTGCATGAAGGCACGTCCTTGACTGATAAGCTGTCATTAAAAATCGGAATATATCAGTAAATGTAATTTAAATATATTGGGGTGGGGGTGGGGGGTCTGAGTGGGGAAAAAATGAGGAAAATGGTGGATATACATGAATTTTAAAGAAAATTCTCAGGGTGGGGGTTTCCTGAAGCCCCCAAAAAAACTCTGGATCCGCTTCTGAATTCTTAGCACTCAGCTGGGTCGTAAAAGAGATTGACATGTTTTAAGACCGGTGAGCGATTCCTACAGCATCTAATAGGGTGCTTGAATTTGCACTGATTTAGCAGACGACGTGATTTTCGCGCCATTTGTTGAGCCACGAGACATCAGCCTTAATGCCATATTTTTGATTACGTTAACCTGGCTATGTTTTTTTTTTTTCATAGCAAATACATGTACAAGTTCAATATATTCAAATTACATATATATATAAGTTCCGATTTTAATTGAGGACTTTGAATATGACCTATCAGGTGGTTGGAATTTAAGGTGACTACTGCATGTACTAGGATGCTTGAAGATTTTCGCACCCATTTGTTGAGCCACGAATTTCTGTGATAAAGATATCTAAAAGGACAATTGCATATTAACGTATCTTTTTGCATCATGAACATATTGTGTGTTAACAAAAAAAAAAAAATAATGATAGAATAAAAACGAACAAATGATAGTTTTGTTTTGAGAGTATCTGACTCTGGGAGGCGATTTAAGAGTAGAAGTTCATTTCCGGTTAAATGGAGGCGCAGTGCTGTTTCGGAAAGGTAATGCATGCTAAATTTTGCTATGGTCTTTCACACATGCTCACATGATGGGATGTCAGCATTGACTTTCCTACTACTTTTTTTATACCATTTAGTTGTAAGTATGCTTTTCAACGAGGCAATGACACAGTAAATAGTGGCGTGCCAATTTTGACGACCCTGACACGGCGACAAGCCGACATTGATTCTGTCAGCAGATTCCTGCTACTGTTCAGTAGTAGGTTTGAGTACACGTTTCATATGCGTTGTATCCTATCTTATCATACTGGAATGCTAAAAACATACTTGGCGATCATGTAAGTAGTTATTGTGGTTATCTGATTGAGTTATTTAAAATGATTTAATAATAGTTGATTGGTCAGTAACAAATAGGGATTACACGACTTATCTCCCTTAGTCTACGTTACTCTTAGGCTACATTCGCGTATCCCGGTTGAAACGGTACGTGTGGCGCAGAAATTTTTCACGATAAACGAACACACTTGGACCGTTCTATAAGCAGAGCTAAAAATCCACAGTTTCGGAGAATAAAAAAAACAGTGTTTCAAGAATATTATGACCTTCTTTCATCCGTCCACTGAATTACATAACTTATCTTAAAAACTACATGTGACTTGACATTGTTTTAGAAAGAAATAACGCAAACTAGTAATAGTCAGCATTTCAGTTTCGGTCAGGCACGTCTGGACCCCTCAATCTAAACGTGCCAAATTTTCCTGAGGTCAGCCTAGGTCCAGATCTGTACCTGTCGTTTTCTTTACAGGTTCAACCGTTTCGACCGGTAACGCGAATGTACCCCTAGTCTTATCCAAAACATATCAATATATGGTGGAAATAGTATGCGAAGTCAGCAAGATGGACTCTCAACATAAATTATATTCTTCCCAAACTTGTTCAACCCATGAGGAAATCCTACCCAAAACAATCATCCAATCAGAAAAACTAGCAGAATTCAGGACATGCAGTATTGCACCATATAATAACATGTATAACATATCAAACATATACAAAACCTACAATACAACTAACACTGCTTTTAAACTGTTTTTATCCTATAGAAAATTATAAAAAAATAATTAAAAAACCTGCATAACACACTACAGCACAAGACCAAAAACTTCCATAATCGTCAATATTGATGGAGGATGGATTAAATATGAAGATGAAGCACCGCAATATTGTGTAGTTTTAATATAAACCTAGGGGAGATCTGGCTAAGATACAGAACTGTTCTAGTGTGGCAGATTTTAATTGTACATAGGATTACAGTTGCCTTCTAGCTTCGAACTAGAAGGAATTTCCCTTTACTTAGCTCAGTGGTAGAGCATCCCCCTAGGGATCCCAGATTGATCCTCAGTGGAAGCACACTATTCTCTTTCCTGTTACAGTGGTGCCTGTGACCAACCCTTGTTTCAAGCATTGGGTGCAGTACCTGAAATGGACGGTCGACCACTCAACATAGGCGATTAAAGTCTTGCTCGGGTGACCAAAAATTGTCAAAAGTGAGGTAGTCACTGGCCCAACAAAAATAGTTTGGGCCACTGTCGAAAAATCTGAGAATAAAACCAATTATAGTCCCTTTCACATTAAAATGGGGTGTTTGTTTTGTTACATGTACTGTACAGGTAACATATTATTTTATAGATTAGAGCTTGAGGTCAATGTTCTGGGTGCAATGATATAATTTATTATTGTTTAATAAACATAGTAATATCCTGACGAGGCACACGTGCATATGTTGTCTGTTTGGCGCGACACCAACGATCTACACTTGAACACACTATGATTTTATATAATGATATATATATATAAATAGTTGGGGCCTCTGGGTATTCACCAGCTATTTTGGGAAAGGGCCCCTGAGCAGGATTTGTAAGATCTAAAACCTGCAATGTGGTAGAAAAAAAATCTCCAGCTGTTTTTTTACAGTAAAATGTAAAGCAATAAATAAACATCAATTTTTAGTATTTTTGTTCAAATCTTATTTATGTAATTTGAATGCTCCTTCATGGGTGGTAAAACATTGCACATATAATGAAAGGAAACTTGTATATAATCATGCTTTTAAATCCAATTGGGAAAATAAGAACTGAAATTGGGAAAAGTACATGGTCATTTTTAGCTCACCTATTCGGAGACTACGGGGTCTAATGTAGTCACCGCGGCATCAGCGTCCAACCTTCTGAGGTTAAAGTTTTTTCCAGACAGTGTTGGATCATCACACTCAATACACACTTTGTCTATTATGAGGTTAAGTCATTTATATTAAGTTTTAGCAATGTGTTGGACCATATTTTCAGATTTTAGGGTCCAAAAATTAAAGCTTAATACATTGGACTTGGTTAGGGCAAACTTGAGGTTAAAGTTTTTGGGCAAGTTTTTTTGTGTAGTGTTGGATCGCCACCATCAATAGGCTATTGTCCATTAATAATAAGGTAGAAGTATTTATTTGAAGTGTTAGAAATGTTCTGGACCATATTTTCATATTTTAGGGGCCAAAACAAGCTTAATTGGACTTAGTTTCAGTTTTTGGGTAAGCTTGAGGTTAAAGTTTTTGGGCAAGTTTTTTTGTGTAGTGTTGGATCGCCACCATCAATAGGCTATTGTCTATTAATAATAAGGTTGAAGTATTTATATGGAGTGCAAGCAATGTGCTGAACCATATTTGCATATTTCAGGGGCCTAAAACAGCTTAATTGGACTTGGTTTAAGTTTTTGGGCTAATTTAGCCCACCATCATCTGATGGTGGGCTATTCAAATCACCCTGCGTCTTGTTATCAGTATTTCACAAGAAGTACTGAAGGGATCTTTCTCAAATTTTATATGTAGGTTCCCCTTGGTCCTTAGCTGTGCAGGGCAACTTTTGAGACTGATTGGATAAACAACATGGCCGACAGGCAGCCATCTTGGATTTTGATAGTGAAAGTTTGTTATCTTTTTTTCTCGGGAAGTACGGGAGGGATCTTTCTCAAATTTATATGTAGGTTCCCCTTGATCCCTCGTTGTGCCTGTTATATTTTGAGACTGATCATAAAAACAAAATGGACTAAAAGAAGAACTAAACAGATCTTTCACATATTGCAATGATCGATTCTATTTCTTTCACATTAAGTACTGTACTAGTAAATATGTGAAATGACAAACACACTTTGAAGGTTGGCTTTCATACACATCAGTATTATGTTAGATCAAAAGTTACCTCAAGGTGCATTTACTGTTAACATGACTCGATCAAACAGATTAGAGGAAAGAAGAGAAAAGATTAAACTGACAAAGAACTAATGAAGATGGTACAAAGGTGGGCGCCAAGATCCCTCTGGGATCTCTTGTTTTGTGAAGTGTTGGAACGGTCACCACGATCAAAATGCTGTTGACTATTTCATGTTGGCTGGTCATATCATCTTACCGTAAAAACCCATGTAATTTGCGCACTTTTTTTTCAGAAATTTAATACCCAAAGTAGGGGGTGCGTAAAATACACAGGTATAGAAACTTTCCAAGTTTTTTTCAGGAAAAGATCGATGATTCTGAGAGATCGCCATCTTGGATTATGTCCCTTGGTACACGGAACTCTAAGACAAATGACGATCAACAAATTTATTTATGTCAAACATTAATAAAAGATACATAATGTGTTGTTATGTGAGTTTATGTGAAAAGTATTAATAAATAGGTAACGTTTAACAAAAAAAGTTTAGCCAAATTCCTATGCCAGAGAATCGCCGATCAACTTACGACATTACGTTTCGACATCTCGGTGCGTTTCCCCATACTATTACGAAAATGTAGTTGTTCAATTTAAGCTCCGTTCTATGTAAGTTCTGTAAGTTTTTTCAAATCGCCTATGCGTATAACGTATAGCATGGTTTTTTCCCGGCTCACTTTCATGTTGATCTCGCGTCTAACATTACGTAAACACGTGATTGATAATAACCTTGTGAATTATTTCAATATTTATTAAATGAAGCATCGTAAAAATAGTCTGCGTTAACTATTTTTTTTCTTGGAGTAGATTTGAAGTGGATGTATTGATTGTCCATGCTTCTAGTATAAACATATTTTTATAATCCCTTATCAGTCAAATCAGCCTGTAGTTTTGACAATGCAGTAGGGCTTCGTAATTCATGCCACGTGTTGGCGAGTGAAAAAAACAACAACATGGTCCGTCGATCGCGACTGCAAATCATTTCAATTAGTGGAGCTATTGTTAACGGGTAATCACAGAGATAGTGTTAGCTCATTACTGCATTGTTATTTGTAAAAAAAAATATCGCCAAACCACGAACTTAGATAATCTAATTCCGTGGCCAAAATGAACTGTGACATGACCTGGTTTGAAGTGACGTAACCCAAGCCGCCATGATGAGCCCTTCTCACTGATCGTAATTATGATCAATAAAAGGTATCTTATTATGTCTTTCAACAGGAGATATGCACCAGCGGTTACTAAACATCGAATTACTTATTAACTGATATGTTTTTGTAAGCAAGTAAATGTTTTATTTAAAATATTGCTAAAATGAATTGATGTATTCCGATATGCGCACACGTGTGTGTCATGTGTGATCAGATAATTCAAAGAAAACAAGCAACAAAATACACATTTTACGTAGTTTCTTCTTGGTTTTAAATATCATTTTACATCAATGAAAAAAATTTCATAGAAATATATTTTAAAAAATATATTCAGAGATCGATTTTCGGAGCATGAACATTGTTTTTTTCCAGATTTTTTGGGTGCGCAAAATATTCGAGTAGAACCTTTTTTCCCGATTTTCAGCCTCTAAAAGTACCTGCACAAATTACACAGGTGCGCAAATTACATGGGTTTTTACGGTAACCGTTAACGAAAAAAGTTTAGCCAAATTCCTATGCCAGAGAATCGCCGATCAACTTACGACATTACGTTTCGACATCTCGGTGCGTTTCCCCTTACTATTACGAAAATGTATTTGTTCAATTTAAGCTCCGTTCCATGTAAGTTCTGTAAAAAAAAATCAAATCGCCTATGCGTATACGTATAGCATGTTTTTTTTCCGGCTCACTTTCATGTTGATCTCGCGTCTAACATTACGTAAACACGTGATTGATAATAACCTCGTTGATTATTTCAATATTTGTTAAATGAAGCATCGTAAAAATAGTCTGCGTTAACTTTTTTTTCCTTGGAGTAGATTTGAAGAGGATGTATTGATTGTCCACGCTTCTAGTATAAACATATTTTTTATAATCCCTTATCAGTCAAATCAGTCTGTAGTTATGACAATGCAGTACAGGGCTTCGTAATTCACGCCACGTGTTGGTGAGTGAAAAAAACAACAATACGGTCCGTCGATTGCGACTGCAAATCATTTCAATTAGTAGAGCTATTGTTAACGGGTAATCACACAGATAGTGTTAGCTCATTACTGCATTGTAATTTGTAAAAATAACGCCAAACCACGGACTTAGATAATCTAATTCCATGGCCAAACTGAACTGTGACATGACCTGGTTTGAAGTGACGTAACGTTAACCCAAGCTGCCATGATGAGCCCTAATTTTCACTGATCGTAATTATGATTAATAAAAGGTATCTAATTATGTCTTTCACCAGGAGATATGCACCAGCGGTTACTAAACATCAAATTACTTATTAATTGATATGTTTTTGTAAGCAAGTAAATGTTTTATGTAAAATATTGCTAAAATCATGTGTGATCAGATAATTCAAAGAAAACAAGCAACAAAATACACATTTTACGTAGTTTCTTCTTGGTTTTAAATATCATTTTACATCAATGAAAAGAAAATCATAGAAATATATTTATTTATTTTTTATTCAGAGATCGATTTTCGGAGCATGAACATCGTTTTTTTCCCAGGATTTTTGGGTGTGCAAAATATTCGAGTAGAAGCTTTTTTCCCGATTTTCAGCCTCAAAAAGTACCTGCGCAAATTACATAGGTTTTTACGGTATATGTTAAGGTACGGCAAAACGATATTATATTGCCATCATTTGTTCAAAGAAATGTTAGCATTATGAAGGGGTTTGGCGATAAATTGAAAGAAACACATAAGGAATTCTTAGGTAAAATGTAATTGAGGGACCTTAAAGTATGTTGGCGGTAAGTGAGGTGGCAAAGGAAATGACGGGCATTATAACAAGGTTTTACTGTACATTTGTTTCTGTTGATATTTGCTATCTTACAATATATATCACCAATAGGCGAGCTGTGCTGTTCTCCAACAGCTCTTGTTCAATTGGGAATGGGTCCCTGTACCGGGACCTATAAACACCTGGCAAAAACCCTGTGGCCTATAATTGTTTAGCTGATGTGTGCATTTAACCAGGCAAGAAACTGGATCCATGCTCACTTGTGGCATATCTTTGTACATGTACAATTTTTCCGTCAATTGGCTGTGGTAACCATAATGGTGGTCACACATACTGAGTAATTCTGTACCTGTTTCCCCAACATTGAAGACTGTCGATGTGAAAATTGACTAGTGTGTGCGAGTTTTGTACGGTTGATATTTCAATGCCAATAGCCAAACTTTGACACCAAAAACCTTATTTTGCTACTTTCAGTATTCAAACTTTGTGTTTGTACAATCTGAAATGTTTCCATGAATTTGATTTTGAATTTCCTAGAAGTTCACTTTATATTTCTGCCACAAGGCTAGGTTGCCTACCATTTGGTATTGTATATATATTGTCTCCACATGTATATCATCAAAATCATTAAAGAAGCTACTTGAATGACAACAGACTATAATGAAAACAAATTTGACTGTATTGTGATCAAATGATACATGAACATACATTTGTGTGTATACATATATATATCAGATCATACTCAATTAGTAACATGGTTTCTTGCACCTTTGAAATTTTACAATTAATGCTCCATGGCATTTTTCCCCACATAGTCACCATCAAGTCAAACTATATTACCTACACATATTACCATCGCCGCTATTATGAGTGATATAATTTGTTTATCTTATTTTCAAAAGAAATATTCAATAAAATCAGACGTTGTCTTGCATTTTACAGAATAACATACATGTACATCATAGTCAAACAAAATTTGAAGTTTGAAAAAAGAAAACAAAAAATGCTGGGGTCAAAATCCAGACCTTTATATTGCCAATCAGGAATTATAAACTCACACAAAAATAAAACATAAATGAATGTCCAATGTATTAAAAGGGAAGTTACTCTAAGCTAGAAAAACTCCTTTTGGTTGTTTCATGATCATCTGAGCTTCCATGTAGAAGGGAGAACACCCAAAGTCAAAAAGAAGTTGAGTGGAACTCTTATATTAATGATCATTACTGTGCTCCTTTTGATATTGGCTGTGAAGTACACTGATGCTCCTTTTGATATTGGCTGTGACGTACACTGTGCTCCTTTTGATATTGGCTGTGAAGTACACCGTGCTCCTTTAGATATTGGCTGTGAGGTACACTGATGCTCCTTTTGATATTGGCTGTGACGTACACTGTGCTCCTTTTGATATTGGCTGTGAAGAACACTGATGTTCCTTTTGATATTGGCTGTGAAGAACACTGATGTTCCTTTTGATATTGGCTGTGAAGTACACTGTGCTCGTTTAGATATTGGCTGTGAAGTACACTGCTGTTCCTTTTGATATTGGCTGTGAAGAACACTGATGTTCCTTTTGATATTGGCTGTGAAGAACACTGATGTTCCTTTTGATATTGGCTGTGAAGTACACCGTGCTCCTTTAGATATTGGCTGTGAGGTACACTGATGCTCCTTTTGATATTGGATGTGAAGTACACTGATGCTCCTTTTGATATTGGATGTGAAGTACACTGATGCTCCTTTTGATATTGGCTGTGACGTACACTGTGCTCCTTTTGATATTGGCTGTGAAGGACACTGTGCTCCTTTAGATATTGGCTGTGAGGTACACTGATGCTCCTTTTGATATTGGATGTGAAGTACACTGATGCTCCTTTTGATATTGGATGTGAAGTACACTGATGCTCCTTTTGATATTGGATGTGAAGTACACTGATGCTCCTTTTGATATTGGCTGTGAAGTACACGGTGCTCCTTTAGATATTGGCTGTGAAGTACAATGATGCTCCTTTTGATATTGGCTGTGACGTACACTGTGCTCCTTTTGATATTGGCTGTGAAGAACACTGATGTTCCTTTTGATATTGGCTGTGAAGAACACTGATGTTCCTTTTGATATTGGCTGTGAAGTACACTGATGTTCCTTTTGATATTGGCTGTGAAGAACACTGATGCTATCTACACATATACCTTATTTTGTTTTTTTATATGAAATATCACAATTCCATCTGTTTTTTTGTTTATTTAGGTACTCATTATTCAATCACTAGTCTCCGAAACCCAACATGTGGCACGAGGCAAGGAAGCAGGAGAAGAAGATCCGGGGGTTGATGGTAGATTACAAGAAAAGAGCAGAAAGGAGAAGAGAATTTTATGAAAAAATTGTAAGATACTTTCATGATCAGTTGAAAGGGGATCTAGATCTGAATTAGTTGAAATTGGAATGTACTACGGGGGGTGGGGTCCTCATCATGTCATTATATTGGAATCATGTAAATGTATTAATGGATTTTAAAAAGTTTCAAGACCAAGGTCATTGTAGCAATAAAACAAGACCATGGAGGAGCCTTTGCTGACCTGTCATTGGTCTAGTTTATAATTCAAATCTAAATACTGAGAAAAAGTGATTGTCCTGTCAGACCTAAAATGTAGCTTTATCATTCCCATTGTTTTGTGGCCAAAATATTTTGAATACATCTTTGTCCAATATCACTGTGATAGTTTCCACTGTAACTTTTAATCCTCGGGTATTCAATTCAATATTATACACATTAACTTTTGTTGTTCTTTCAGAAACTAGATCCTACCCAGTTTTTGCGAATCTACGGAAGGCCATGCAAGATAAACCTGGACCAGGCGGTGGCTATAGCTGCTGAATCTCCACAGAGCATGTCAGTATTCACATAATAGGGTTTATATGGGATTATCTCCACAGAGCATGTCAGTATTCACATAATACGGTTTATATGGGATTATCTCCACAGAGCATGTCAGTATTCACATAATACGGTTTATATGGGATTATCTCCACAGAGCATGTCAGTATTCACATAATACGGTTTATATGGGATTATCTCCACAGAGCATGTCAGTATTCACATAATACGGTTTATATGGGATTATCTCGGATCAGTATTCACATAATAGGGTTTATATGGGATTATCTCCACAGAGCATGTCAGTATTCACATAATAGGGTTTATATGGGATTATCTACAATCAGTATTCAATCATTCTTTCTCTGATTAAAAGGTTTGTAGTTGGAATACCAAGATTGACACATCACAATCAAATGTGCCCAGGATAATTGATGAACACCTTCAGCCAACCATCTTTGTTCTAAATTGCTGTCTTTGTCCATGATCTATTAATAGTGTCCTCCATTGTTCAAACTTACTGGTAGATCCATAGACAATCACCTTGAAAAACATGGTCTGTTAGAATCATCTACTGCATCTTTGGAGTTATAATTATTTCCTATGCATTTCTGATCCAACGATAAATATCAGTAAAATCAGTTTTTTCTTTATCATTAATATTGCACATTTCCTTATTCTATGTTATCAAGCACTAAATAAAAAGTTCAAATTTCCTTTTTTCATGTCTGGTGTATCAAAATTTCAGTAGGCCTCCAAGAAATCTTTATTAGATAGAACTATTTCATATTGAAGGTTGTCCTTGGAGTATTGTTGCGAAAGTTTCAGTTTTAGACTGATTGTACATCTTGGATTTTGACATTTTAAGTTTGTTATTGCTTTTTCTCCAGAAGTAAACAATTAGTTTGAAAGGACAATCTCCAATTCATCTGTATGAAGTCTACAGCAACAGTTACAGGATGCATTTACTGTTGGCAAAACTATTATCAGTCCAACAGATAAAAGAAAAGATCAAAGTTACATTTAGAACTAAAGAAGAACTCATTGTTTTAAATTTCATGACAGCTAATTAATTCAATTGCAAAATAGCAATATCTTTACTGATATGTGTTTTACATAAAACACAGAAGCTCACAGTACTTTGAATTGTAAGTAAATATGGTAACTTTCTCCTCAATTTTCATGCTCCACCACAGATGTAAAGATTGTAAGTTATTTTAAGATGTGATTTCTGTTGATCTGTCGATTTGTCTGTCTGGATGTTGGTATCTTAGTGAGACTTTACATATCTGTATCTATTATATGTCCCACCAACTTCGCGAGCCAATGGTGTTCAATACGATTCTCTCCTTCTCCTTTTGAAAAGGAGGGTATTGTATTGAACACCCTTGGCTCGCCAAGCTGATGTCCCACAGTCGTCATACATTAAACACATAGGTTTTCAGGAGAATTACACCATCATGTGATCTGTAGGTTTGTTTTTCTGATACTATTATGGCATCAATGCCTCGGTGATCAGCAAACCTAACATTAAGATACTTTTTAGGAGTACTATATTATTGACATGTAGCTCACTAGGACTCATATTTTATGCTGCAATGAATTTGATAAGATTTTGCTTTTAGATCCATTTCCATCAAAGTTGGAGCGAAGGTATGTGAGTGTTTAACAAACATGAGATGTATATGAGATGTTTATTGCTTTCCTTACATAGGATGCCATGGCAGGGACAGACAGATAACATGATTGACCGATTTGACGTCCGAGCCCATCTGGACTATCTACCACATTTCAATATAGCTGCTCCTCCTACGTATGTATCCCTCCAATCATGACACTTTGAGATCCAGTGTTAATCATTCCAGTGTAATTGGCAAAGTGGACTAGATAAATCTTATAACGTTAGAAAACAGTGTTAATCATTCCAGTGTAATTGGCAAAGTGGACTAGATACATCTTATAACGTTAGAAAACAGTGTAAATCATTCCAGTGTAATTGGCAAACTGGACTAGATAAATCTTATAACGTTGGAAAACAGTGTTAATCATTCCAGTGTAATTGGCAAAGTAGACTAGATAAATCTTATAACGTTAGAAAACAGTGTTAATCATTCCAGTGTAATTGGCAAAGTGGACTAGATAAATCTTATAACGTTAGAAAACATTTTAAATAAACGGAAGATCAAAAAACAACAATATGTTTTCTGATTTTCTTCACCACAACAATGGAGTGATTCACAAATTACAAATCTTCAAACATATTTATAGACTGGTTATGACGTCGTTAGTCTAATCTACATGTACACCTGTACCAACACCTTGTGTATATTTATTAAGGTCTGACATATGTAGACTGTCGCTATGACATCATTGTTATAATCTAAATTTGTACCGACACTTTTTGTATATTCTTGTCATTGTCATGTTTTTTCAGACTCACTAGACATGAAGAAGAGGAAGAAAGGCTGTGTTGCTATGAAAGATACAGAACCCTTATTGAAAACGAATGTTCAGCATGTAAGACATGGTTTTATATGAAATTATTAATCTGAACTTTGTTGTATGTGAAAAGGCAGACAAAAGCTTCCTCTCCACCAAACAAAAAAAGGAAAACGAAAAAAGCCCATAAAATGTTCAACAAAAAGTTTTTTGTACTATACATACATTTAGGGAATAACCCTACTGTATTTTGAGGTTTGTGGAAGTAAATCATGATTATACTGTCATGAATGGAGTTTTACAGAGTGAAAATCTAAAAATACAGTAGGATTATCCTCATAATAATTCATATCAGTTCAAACCACCGAAAGAAAAGGTCATTTTAAGATATGTTTGTGCGTGTTCTTAAAAATATGGGTCACTCTGCCAAGGACTAAACAAAATATATTTCAAGAGATTTCAAAATAACATTTCTCAAATTTTCTAAATAATAAGCTCATTTAATACTTTACTTTCTCACAAGTTTTGTTGTAACTAAAAGTCATTTGTATCATCTTTAACTAAGCAAAATGTTGAATTGTATCTTAAAGCAAATATTGTGATATAATTTATTCCTAGCTACCATATGTAGCCTATCATATGAGTTAACATACCTAACTGCACTGCAAGTTAGCACTAGGAAAGGTTGAGGATACTCCCATGTTTGTTGAAAATCAGACACCCCTGTGAGGCTGTGAGTGTTCTCATGTTTTCTTCGGTCTCTAGTGGTGAGATGTTTTGTAAAGATCTGATCTTGATTTAATTGTTTGATTTGCTGTTGTAATGTTGACAGTGACAGAGGAACAATGTCTGCAGCAGATAGCTGTTGATGAACAGTTTGGTGCAGCAAACAGATCATTTCAAATTGAAGAAGAAAAGAAAAAGTGAGTACATCAGTATATATAGTGAAAAAGATATATGACACAAATTTACATACAAAAAGATATTTGGATTTTGTAAAATTAGATCATGCTGTTCAACATAATATAAGTATTATAATGAGTGTGACCTTGTACAGACTTTCAGGGAAGAAGGCTGCAATAGGTTATACATACACGGACAGTACCCCAGCCCCGGAGGAGCCGGACGACGCGGAGAACGACAGCGATGAGAGCAGCGACACTGATGTAGAAGTAGCTGACTTAGGTAAAGTCTGATTACCTTTACCACTGAGGAAGGTTCTGTTTCAATAAAGTTCTAATATGATTGATATCAGCTGATCACTGATTTATCTTCACCCTTTCTAGGACAAAGATTTTGCTCTCCGGTTATACAAATGTACTTAATTTTTCCGTTTCTTTTGGGTGAAAAGTTCTCATTTTAAGATGATATGTACATGCCTTATTAGAATACTTCGTTTTTTCAAACCTCCAAGCAGGGCGATTTGCCGCCAGGGTTTGATCTGTAAACACTTGGTCCACTTCTGGTGCTTCCCCATGTAATTATTACAGTTGACTAGTGAACTATCATGAATTCTCCATTTGATAAAAACATACCATAATGCAGTGAAGATACACGAAATATTTTATCTTCACATGTGAAGACGCGTACGTCACTCTTAGTATGGTCCAATCTGAACAGTACACTTTATTCTCTGCGTAGATTTTCAGTTTCAAGTTTAGATGAAGTGAGGTCAGAATAAGTGATTGTGTGTTCCACCTATACAGCATACATTATTGTTTTTACATAACTACACTATTAATATAATTTTTGTCTGGAACTATTATTCAAAGGGGGGGGGGGGGGGGGGGGGGCNTTGTCAATAGAAATATTTGTAACAATCGCTGCTTCTCTTTCTCAGAAGATGACGTTATTACCTAATCGTTGACATTTACATGTGCGTGCTATGTGACAAATATTGAGTGACAATAGTGCTAAATGCAAAATTATTGCCATTAACAATTTATAAAAAATAAATAAATTCAAGTATGCAGGATCCGTTCCCCCAAGGTTGTTGGACTGTCAGTTAGTCATTTTCATGAAAAGAAATTTCGTGTCCAGCAACTTTGCTGCATTTTCTTGTTAAGTCTACAAGATAGAACATCTATTTGTAAATAAATAAGATATAATAACAGTTGTATTAATTGACATTGTTGTTTCCTATTAGATATCACCCTTGATGTTGATACGCTGAACTCGGAACAGTTAACCATGTTGAATCAGTGTGCTCAGCTGTTTGGTATGAAGGAAGAAGATTACACGAGGTAATACTAGTCAGATCTGGATTAATCTACTTCTGAATCAAACAAAATATGAATCATAGCTTAGGGGCTCTTAAAAGTGATAAGCTTGGAGTTCAGTACATTGACAACTATATATTGATGTCTTAGCTCTGAATAAAGGGAGACTTTTTGTGTTTAAAGTTCAGGCTCTTCTTGTAATTTTTGTGTCCAGGCTGTAACTCATTAATTGTTTAAGACATGCTGATAAATCTTGCAGTATACCTGTATCACCCACAGATGATGTGTATTGCCTGCCAATAGGTCACTGACCTTCACCTCAAGGTCAAACCCAAAATAAGTGTAAACTTTTCAGTGATATTATTAACTTGTATAAGTGTTGAGGTACTGTGACATTCCACTTTAAATCAACATGTTGGCTACTAAGGGGAGGTAATAAAGTTCATGTCTGTGTTATAAACCTGAAAGTTTCTGCCATTTTTTTTCCAAATAGTACATTCCTATTCATTTTGAAGTTGATAATAATATGTATGATCTGTTTTACTCTATTTACAGGCTTTTGTCTAAAGATAAGGAGGAAATTGAAGCATTAAGACAGGCTAAGATGCTTGAAGAGGAAAAGGCACAATTTGCAGTGAGTTTTCTTGTACTCAAACATTTTAATTAGTTTTGTTAGTTGGTAGTAAGTCTATATTTGTACAAAAAAACAACAACACCATAACACTAAAATTTTGTGGTGCTGAAATTTCACATTTTATAAATCAGAATATGTCTGGCTTTTAAATATCACAGTACATCATCCTTACCCTGGGTTGTACAATTCAGTGGCTCAATGCCTGGGGCAAGTAGGTTTTATATCAGGACTAGTAGATTAGAAAAAAATATACTATGAATATGTTGGTTTGCTGGTACAATTTTCAAAATCTGCCTTGGAGATGGATTCTTCAATAAATTGTACACTCCTACAGTCACTTAAAGAAGGAGAATCGAAATTTGGAAGAAAAAGGGGTATGAAAAATTTTGCTGTTAAAATTGCAGGATTACGGGTACTTTTACGGGAAATTATTTGATGCAAAAATGTAATTTCCTTTGCTGGAAGTATGTTAATAAGTAAACAGCAGATCTTTGATTTCCATGCATGAAAACATGTTTTGTAAGTCCTTTGTTGCTGGCTTTTCGTTTTTTTCAACAGTGTCTTTTAATGTTCTCTTGATTAGGGTCGGAAATCGAGGAGAGAGAGGAGAGCGTATAAGGAAAAACGATTGGCCGGCCGAAAACTGAGTCCACCAAGGTAACTAGAGAAAGCCTATAGCTACTGGGGAGCAGTGCAACAATGATACAAGGTTCTGCATCACCATGGTTTTTTTTGTGTTAACTCACAAGGAGGGGGTGATTATAAATTCATATAGATAGTATTTTAAACAAGGAGCGTACCCACTGTTAGTCCTTACATGAATTTAGATACTTGAGAATACGTTATTGGAAAAACATACTCCGACATAGATTTATATTAATAATGAAATAGCACTGCAGTGATCTTTGTTGCCCAAATAGAGTTTAAACTAAACTATGTATATCTTCAATAAGATTCATTAGTTTAGAAATAAATAATATGAAAGTTTTACTTTATACACAAACAATATATGTATATGTTGCGACACATTTAGTACACATACATTGTGTATAAAGTAAAAGTTTGATATTAAAACTATTGATAGTATATCTGGTTACATATGCTGTTGTTGTGTTTCAGTTACGCTGCTCGAGATAGTCCCAAGTATGAGCCCTACAGAAAAAGGTAAAACTTCATGGTTCATTTAACTGGAAATATTTTCTTTTTCTAAGATAAATGTCTTGGTGTTTAGTTGCGTGTAGAGCCCTGAAGGAGTGAAGTTATCAATTCTGATACATTCATTTTTAAAGGATGTACTGTATGTATGTTCTTTCCAAATAAGTTCTTCATAACATTAGTGTTACCTATCTTTCATGAATGCTCATAAAGAGGTAAGTTATTGAGGGCACAATTAAAATAGTCAGTCACACAGTTTAAAGGGAGGTAACTATTACACCAGTCAAAGGCATTGCATTAATCTTGAGCAAGTGGTGTGTGTGTTGTATTGATTAAAATTGAATGAGTCATTCTACTTGCACTGCTTCACACTTTTGAGGGAGACATACATTCTATCCGTTCTATTTCACCCTTTGACTGTGGTCTGGCTGTCTGAGGTATGTTTGTCTGAGATCTGTTTATCTGTGGTCTGTTTGTCTGTGGTCTGGCTGTCTGAGGTATGTTTGTCTGAGGTCTGGCTATCTGAGGTCTGTTTGTCTGAGGTCTGTTTGTCTGTGGTCTGTTTGTCTGTGGTCTGTTTGTCTGAGGTATGTTTGTCTGTAGTCTGTTTGTCTGTGGTCTGTTTGTCTGAGGTCTGTTTGTCTGAGGTCTTGCTATCTGTGGTCTGTTTGTCTGAGGTCTGTTTGTCTGTGGTGTGTTAGTATCATGTTGTAGAAACAATTGAAACAAAGACATTCTGCTAGAACCATTGTATCTGTGAGAATTGAACTGAGAAAAATTGGGAGTAAAAAAAAAATCTTTTATACTTTTTCTCCTGGAGTAACCAAATTAGGTATACAGATATAACCAGGTACCTGAGATGACAGAATTTGTTGTACCAAACAAGTCGCTGTGATCTTTATTTTGACCTTTGACTGCCTGCATTCTTTTGAAAAATTTGCCCTATTCTGTATCGGTTACTTTCTTCGTAGTAGCTGGCTAGGTTGATCCTTAGATAGGTGTACAGCTCAGTAAATAAAGAAACCCTAACCCTATGGACTGTTTTGCAGTACTATGCATTGTTACTGGTATTATTCCTCATAAAGCACTGGAGATTCTGTGTAGGTCCCCTTTGATTCGTTGTGGTGCATGTTCCATTTTGAGAACTGATCACAAAAACTGTAAGGCTGGCAGATAGTCATTTTGGAATTTGACTGTTTCATGTTGTTTACACTGTTTCTCAAAAAATACAGTATACATACATGTATATCTTTCCTATTTCTTAAATACGTTCAGTTTCATAGTTTTGCATATTTCATTTTGAGCTTCATGTTCCTTTATCAGAAGAAAGTTTATTGCCAGAAATCGGAAATCTTGCTTGTTCTGTTTGGTCACATTTCTGTCCTAGTTTGACAAACAGCAACCTAACTTTGAAGTTTTGATCAAAAGTTGCTGAAAGATGCATTCACTTTTGACATGAATATCGATCCAACATGAGTGAGAAAAGATAAACGTACATAGAAAAAAAATGGTTGGCACTAAGATCCCAGGGGGATTTTTTGTAGAAGTGTTCAATCAATGGATAAAGAACTATTGGGTATTAATTTTCTCAAAAGGGTCAATATCATATTTACAATGATAATTGCCTTCTTTCTAGGTCATCGTCTTCATCAAAATCAAGGTCCCGTTCTCGCTCGAAGTCCCCAGAGGCTGGAGGGAAGGTGATGTTTATCACCAGTTTTGGTGCAGACAGTGAGGAGGAGGGAGCCATTCATGGTCCAGCACTTCCACCTAAACTTAACACAGAGAACAACGGCAAACCTGAGACTAAAAAGTCACCATCATGGTCGGTGTTCTGTTTAGTGAGACTCTCTAACCAGGATTGGCTTCCCTCAAAACACAACTTACATTTAGGCCAGAAATTCTTGTCCTGTTGACACTTTTATTTTTTTTGGCGGAGTTGGAAGGTTAAAAAAGAAGAATAAGAATCATAAAAAAAATCTACAATACAAAGGATAACAAATTATGGAATGATGGCAAAGATTGTTTATGGAAAAGAATTATAAATTTTGAAAATGTCTTTATGATATCACTATCAGCTCCTTTTTGTTTGTCAATGTCATTGGCTGTGATTAAACGGAGTATTTATGTTTTGTTATTGTAGTGAAAAGAGGTCTGACAAAAAAGGTGAAAAGGACAGAAACTGGAGGTCAAGGTCAAAATCACCCCGAACAAGGTCACCACAGCGATATAGCAGTCACAGCTCCAGGACTCCAAGAAAGAGGTCACGATCACGTTCAAGGTCCAGAGACCATGATCGTGACAGAGATAGAGATCGCGGTGGTTATCAAGGAAGGGGCCGTTATGGACCTCCGCCCAGAGCTGGCTGGCGTAGTAGGGATTGTGACAGTCGGGATTATAGGGATAGTCGTGACTATAGGGATAACAGGGATCGTGGTTATAGGGATAAAAATGACAACAGGGATATTCGTGACAGCCGTGACAACAGAGATCGGGATGGCAGGGATGTTCGCGACAACAGGGATAGAGATGGCCGGGATTATAGAAATGTACGTGACAACAGGGATAGGGATGGACGTGATTCCCGAGATAATCGGGATCATCGGGAAAACCGGGATGGCTCTGACAGCAGAAATAGGAGGTACCCATCACCCCCTAAAAGCTCTTCCTTGAAAAGGAGAAGGTCAAGTAGTAGTTCCTCATCCAAATCAAGGTCAAGAAAGTCCAGATCAAGGTCAAGAAAGTCCAGATCAAGGTCAAGAAAGTCAAGGTCAAGGTCACGAAAATCTAGGTCATTGTCACGATCAAGAAGATCTGTGTCAAGATCTTCATCACGCTCGTCAAGTTCATCTTCCTTCTCCAGCAACAAATCATCAGTGTCAAGGTCAGATACATCAAAATCAAAGTTTGTCTTTTCTTTTTTGTTTTTTGCTTATATCATTTCCTATTTTGCAGTACCATCTTCAGATTTCAAAATTTTAATGGCAAAGACTTAAAAGCCTATTGTTTAAATAATCAAAGCCTGATTGCCTTTGACTTGACCATTCTCAGTCATTAACAAAAGTGTGAGAGTATTAGTTTGACAGGTTTACTTTCTTAGTTTTTATCTACAAAAGAAAAACAATTGGCTCAGATATAAGTTCATGAAAAGGACATGAAAAATATGGGTGCAACGATCCAATATCCATATTGAGGGTGGCAAACTAAATAAAATTGAACTAGATCTTAATCAGGAACAGGATACTTCTACCTTTTGAAACAAAGTAAATCGCTTTTAGCTATAGTGTTTAAAATGATATTTTTTCCTCCATTTTATGAAAGGAACATAATAACCATTTGTTATCGTGATCAGGTCAAAGTCCACCTCACCAGTACAGTTCAAACCAGATCCAGTGATAAAGCGATATCGCCGTGAAAGTCTGTCGTCCAAATCAAGTGACAGCGAATCAGATGGGGAGAAAGAGAGTAAGACCGGTAAAACTTCCAGGTAAAGACAAAGACAATGTTTGAACATACTTTAGAAAATATTACTTTAAAATTTCCATTTCTACCACATTGAAGAGCGGTATAATTCAATTCATTTGTAAAGAAAAAAAATCATGTTTATTAATTTGGGGAAATAAAAACTTCATATTGGGGAAAATGCATGAATGTTCATTTTTTGGTAAAGGTACTGTCTGGGACACTATGATTTCTGGATTTTGCAGATATTTCACCTGATCGGTATAATGAGGATTGTGTATATCTGATTGTTGTAGGGCCCCTGCTGTACCTGTGGTCGGTAAACTGACATCTGCAGTTCCTCAAGTCAGTAAGAATTGCTTGTCTTGTCATGCCTTGTCAGTGTAATGCTGGTGTTTATTTCCACTCCAATACCAAAACAACACTTTATTGTAGAGATATTTTGTACTGATTTTCAGGATTCCATAATCTTTTGATATTATTTCATAGTTTATAATTTCTCCTGTCATATTTTCCAAACTGAAAAGAAATGAAGTATGTGTTCCTATACTTATTTATTATTTTGGTGTCTTGTGTATTTGAATCTAAAAATTTGTTCTGAGCTGTTATTCCTGTAAATCAGTATTAAATATTATTTTGAATTTCCTCCTCTATATATAATTATGTGTTTATTGGCAAACATCATTTTAGAAAGAAACTATTTTAATATAGGAATAGAGTGTGATAAGCAATATTTGCTGTAAATGACTGAAGTGCAAGACACTTTAATGTTGTTCAAACTAGGTATGAACGATACAGTGTTGTAAGTTACATTTAAAAAGTAGGAGAAATCTACAGTGAGATTCCAAGACTTCTAAATCGCGACGAGGGGGCTCAAAGACTCTCGCACATCTATGACCAAGTTTTAAACAAAGCATAGCTGAATCGAGTCATTTCGGTACATATATAACAACTTTTGTACATACGCTTACAGCATAGCGGAATTGACATAGATTTTTGTGGACATTTGTCTGATGAAGGTGACAGTGTACATATCGTACCAGTCATCGAAACGTCACATAGAACATTTTATTGGTTATGTAAAAAGAACTTTAAATAATCCATACTTACCAACCTGAAGAAAATGTTTAGAAAATGAGATTCCAAGACATCAACATGTAAAACTGATGACAGAAAAGTAGCCGGTGACAAAATGCCGCCTCTTATCACTGTTATAGGAATAGAACAGGAAATGAGATCATTTGGAGTAAAACAATTGTGCTAAGAGGTGCTCCTCTGACACTATCAAATTATTTCAAACATGGATCCAACATGTTAAATTAATTTTATCAAATAAATTATTATTCAGAAGCCCACCCTCTAGATGATGGTCGGTTCAAATTGTCCTTCAGCCTTGGTCCATCGTCAGTTCCCTTCATTGTTCTGATTTAACCAATTCTTGTTATTACTATATCTCAAGAAGTACGCATACCAAACAGGTTTCTTTCTAAACTTTACTTTTAGGCTTATAAGAATAAAAACAAAAATGGCCACCAGGCAGCTATCTTGAATTTTGACAGTTAATATTTGATGTTGCAATTTCTCAAGAAGTACCTGGCAGACCTTTCTCAAACTTCATGCTATATGCATGGTTCCTCTGGTCCGTAGTTTTGTATGTTTATTTTCTGAGACAGATAAAAAACAGTTTGTCGGCAAGTAGCCCTTTTGAATGTAGCAGTTAAAGTTTGTACATGTAATAACTATTTCTTAGACAGTAAATTGAGTTTTCCCCAAATTTCATGTGTACATGTGCCCTGTTGAGGGGCTGTCCTGGACTCTTGTTTAGTATAGACTTCATTGAGCTTCAAGCAGCTTGATCAGAAGTAAAATATGACCATCAAAAATCAGAAAACTTACTTGATTTGAAGGTGTCATGACGGTTATATTGCAGAAGTAAATGTTTTTTTTTTCAATTTTGCCTCCTAGTATAATTATGTTAAGCTCTGCATGAAAGCTACAACAGTAGTATTAATCCATACAAGAATATGTATTATTGTCCGATTCATGATTGACATGATTAATAGTGTTAACCCTTTCACCCCCATGTAACTTTAGTAAACTCTTCCATGCATTGATATGGACGAGTCCATTATGGTCTACCGTAAAAGTAATGTAGACTACATCTTTGATATTGTGACAATCCTTTTAAAGAGGATGTGAATTCAGTGTTCTCTGTTGATTAAGCTGTTATATCAAGCTGTCTTAAGATTTGTGTTTTGAGGGACCTCAATTTTTTGTGTCAACAAAACCTAAGCCTGTGTCAGATCGGGTCAGGCATTCTGTCGAGTTCAAGTTAATATCTTAACATGGAACAATTGAATAAAAAATTCAAATTTTGATTGCTTTTGTGAATTTTTTTACAATTAAAATGTTCAGAAAAATTCTTAGAAATCGCTTATTACTGATGTACAAGACCGGTGATTTTCAAATAACAGTGTAACAGATACACTGAATCGAGGTAGCATCGGCTGTCTGTCAACAGGCATCACCTGACTAGCTTTTTTATTATTATTATTAAATATTAGCTGATTTGATATATAGGGTTGAGCTATGGTCACATAAAGAGGAGTGTCCTTGTGTGTAATGTGTGTGTGCTGGATGCAGTACGTTTGTGTGTTTTTCATTTCAGAATTTTTTATTGAAAAATCAAAAGGATTGAACAACAGGCTATGCCTAGTCCTCTCTTAGCCAGAATTACAAACAAACATAAACTATATAGAAAGAAAGAGAGAGAAATGTATACATATAGTAGAAGTAGTTACAGAAATAGTGATGCAAGGGGAGTAACTCCCACAGAAGTTTCAGTTATAAATAAATACTTCAGTGTGTTTACAAGAATATTTGTTTATTTAACGTCGCCTACCATAATCATACAAACATTAGCTCGGTAGCGCTATTTCTGCGTCAAAGTATTTGCCTCTCGGTGGTAATGAGCACGATCTGATGTCAACTTCAAAGTGCTACCTAATTGAAAGACTAAGCTGAAAGCACCCCTCACAGTGTTCCACCCAGCTACATTATACTGACAATAGGTTAACCAGTTGTATTTACCCTGAATGCTGCATGTTTAGCAGGGTATAGCAACTACCATTTACGGACTTCTGTATGTACCACAGCAGTTAGGCAAGAATGGGACATCTGAAACAGCTTTTAGAGGTATCTGTGACTACCTGTAAGTCTGATATTTTCTGATTTTAGCTATCAGCCCGTGACAAGCTAAAGAAAAAAATGCAGGCAGCTTTAAATCGACAATGTAAGTATAAGTAATACAAAAAAAATGGGATATTTTTATATAATATTTATATGCATATCTATCTATTAAGATTTTAAATCCTTGTGAAAAAAATTTGGAAAAGTAACTAATCTGGTGAAAAGTTGATCCATTTACCACTTATCTGGTAAAAAAGTTAATCCATTTACCACTTATCTGGTGAAAAGTTAATCCATTTGCCACTCATCTGGTGAAAAGTTAATCCATTTACCACTTATCTGGTGAAAAGTTAATCTATTTACCACTTATCTGGTGAAAAGTTAATCCATTTACCACTTATCTGTTGAAAAGTTAATCCATCCATTTACCACTCACCTGGTGAAAAGTTAATCCATTTACCACTCATCTGGTGAAAAGTTAATCCATTTACCACTTATCTGGTGAAAAGTTAATCCATTTACCACTTATCTGGTAAACAGTTAATCCATTTACCACTTATCTGGTAAAAAATATTCTATTGGCTGTTTATTTGGTCAGTACTTTATCCAATAATTCCAGCCACTAATAATATGTTCAGTAGTTATACATTCAAACTTGGTAAATCAAGTCACCTCTGATCTATATTGTTAGTTTTAATTTATATGGCTCATATTTTGTAGACAAAGCAGACAAGAAAGCTGAGGTCCAGAGGCTTGAGAAAGTGGAACGCGAAAGGGTGGTATGTATTTGTTTATTATTATAGAACAAAAGTGAAGATACACATTAGCTTTCACTAGAATAAGAAAGGTCGATACAGGCTATCCTAAAATAAGATTAAAAATTGAAAGTGCTATAAAATTACAAAGATTTGGGAGTATCGGAGCATTAAGATGTAGAATTATCAATCAATTATCTGCATACAAAATCAGCTTGAATTTTGATACATTAAGAGAGAATAAAAATATTAAAACAGTACAAAGAAAATGTTGCAATCTCTACAACCTAGATGTTCTCACTTAATTCTGGCAAACTACACATGTTTGATTTTCAATGTCAATACAACGGAGATTAGTGTTGTCTGGAGGCTGCTAGAATGATTATCAATGTCAGTACTACATAGATAAGTGTTGTCTGGAGACTGCTACAATGATTATCAATGTCAGTACTACAGAGATAAGTGTTGTCTGGAGGCTGCTAGAATGATTATCATTGTCTATACTACAGAGATTAGTGTTGTCTGGAGACTGCTAGAATGATTATCATTGTCTATACTACAGAGATTAGTGTTGTCTGAAGACTGCTAGAATGACTATCAATGTCAGCACTACAGAGATAAGTGTTGTCTGGAGACTGCTATAATGATTATCAATGTCAGTACTACAGATATAAGTGTTGTCTGGAGGCTGCTAGAATGATTATCATTGTCAGTACTACAGAGATAAGTGTCGTCTGGAGACTGCTAGAATGATTATAAATGTCACTGCTAGAATGATTATCAATGTCAGTACTACAGAGATTAGTGTTGTCTGGAGGCTGCTAGAATGATTATCAATGTCTATACTACAGAGATAAGTGTTGTCTGGAGACTGCTAGAATGATTATCAATGTCATTACTACAGAGATTAGTGTTGTCTGGAGACTGCTAGAATGTTTATCAATGTCAGTACTACAGAGATAAGTGTTGTCTGGAGACTGCTAGAATGATTATCAATGTCAGTACTACAGAGATAAATGTTGTCTGGAGACTGCTAGAATGATTATCAATGTCAGTACTACAGAGCTTAGTGTTGTCTGGAGGCTACTAGAATGATTATCAATGTCAGTACTACAGAGATAAATGTTGTCTGGAGACTGCTAGAATGATTATCAATGTCAGTACTACAGAGCTTAGTGTTGTCTGGAGGCTACTAGAATGATTATCAATGTCAGTACTACAGAGATAAGTGTTGTCTGGAGGCTGCTAGAATGACAAATATTGTTTTGGAGAGTAAAACTTGAACTCTATCTATCAGGACAGAGAAGAGGAGCTTCGTCTACGAGCGTTGGAGATGCGACGCAAGGAAAGAGAGCGTCGACACCGCGAGCGAGAGAAAGACAACAGCAGCAGTGATGAGAAGCCAGTACCATCACCAGTATCAAGGAAGCATCACTCTAGCAGTCGCAGCCCTTCCCCCAAACCCATCAACAGACACAGGAAACGCAGGTAGGTTCCTACAAACCTGCCAACTTAAATGTTAATTTACTTAACCAGGGTTAGCACTGGCCTTTTCAAACATGGAATACCAAACAAGTAAAAGGTTTGGATACACAAAGAGACATTGGAGAGAGCTGAAATAGAAAAAGAAGTCTCTTGCAATGTTTTGGCTTAATTTGATACCAAACAGAATTAAACACTTTGATAGGTTAAAACACTTTTCACTCTTAACTTTTCTTTAATATTCTTATGGGTTATTTTTAAACAACATGATCTAATAGTGCATGCATGCCATACATCATTTAGATAAAGGAACTAGTATTGCCAAAACAACTTCAGTTATGGCAGCAGACTTTGAATGAGTTATCTCCCTCAGAGAACGTAGAATGAGTTATTTCTCTTAGCATGTAAATAATCCTGATTTTGAAGTACATCTTCTGATTTTATTTGTGCAGGTCAAGATCGAGGTCAAGGTCACCGGAACGTAATAATAAACTGGTGTCCTACTGAATGGAGTAAGGTTGCCTACAACAAACATTTAAACGTGTTTCTGCTCATGGTGGTGATGATTAGGACCTGGTCCATCAATAAACATACCTGTTCCTGCCTATATTGTTGGTAATCTAGGTATATACGGTTAACACCCTGGCCTCTGATGGGACGACTGTCACAGTGCCAACAGTAAACACCAGGATCTGTTCCTGCCTATATTGTTGGTAATCTAGGTATATAAGGTTAACACCCAGACCTCTGATGGGACGACTGACACAGTGCTCACAGTGAACACCAGGATCTGTTCCTACCTATATTGTTGGTAATCTAGGTATATACGGTTAACACCCCGACCTCTGATGGGACGACTGACACAGTGCTCACAGTAAACCCCAGGATCTGTTCCTGCCTATATTGTTGGTAATCTAGGTATATACGGTTAACACCCAGGCCTCTGATGGGACGACTGACACAGTGCTCACAGTAAACACCAGGATCTGTTCCTACTTGTTATTGGTGGACAGAGTGTACAGGATCCCAACCACCCTGACCATGTTATAACAGTGACTGGAGGTGTCAGTACTTGAACAAGGCAACATCTTATCCTTCAGTTAACATCATGACTGCTTTTCACAAAGTGAGACGTGTCTGGAATATTGAAGACTTCAGTGCCTAAAACGACCAGGTCATTACAACAGGGATCAGTAGTTTCACTAAACAGATACCAGGAGGATACCATGTTTCCCTAACAGGGATCAGTAGTGTCACTAAACAGATACCAAGAGGATACCATGTTTCCCTAACAGGGATCAGTAGTTTCACTAAACAGATACCAGGAGGATTCCATGTTTCCCTAACAGGGATCAGTAGTGTCAATAAACAGATACCAGGAGGATACCATGTTTCCCTAACAGGGATCAGTAGTGTCACTAAACAGATACCAGGAGGATACCATGTTTCCCTAACAGGTGTCAGTAGTGTCACTAAACAGATACCAGAAGGATACCATGTTTCCCTAACAGGGATCAGTAGTGTCACTAAACAGATACCAGGAGGATACCTTGCTTCCCTAAGTTTTGAAGTGACCACTGATCTTTTATATCTAAAGAACTTATTGTCCTGCTTTTCCTGTTATGACTATAAATTTTTAGGCTATGCTATTTCTATGTGTTCATGCAGGAAAAGTCTTTGTTGAGGTGAGAGAAGGTTTACAAGAACCTTGATGTGTACAAAAAGTAAATAAATCCTTAATTAACCCTTTCACCCCTATGTAACTATAGTAGACTCTACCATGCATTGATCTGGATGAGTCCATTATGGTCTACAGTGGTGAAAGGGTTAAATGAACTGTGTAGTCAATATAGGGGTGATGATAGTTAGACTAAAATGTGTGAAGCTAACTATCAGTCAAATTAGTTTATATACAGCTACTGGTATATTTGACCGTACAAATGAATATATTTGTTAGTTAATAGGAAAAATTAACTTTTCTGGGTTTTTTTTGTACAGTGTACATGTACCCATAATGACAAAAATGTTTTCTCATCAAAAGATTTTTCTTTTCTTTTCCGTGCCATATTCTTATGACATCATACTTAGAAACAAGACTACTTCATGCTATTTCAAATGGACTACTCATTTAATTCTATTGTTTCCTGCTTGTTAAATGCTAACAAAATACTATCAGTTGTGTTGTTTAGTAAATATCTATGTGTGGTTATGGTGTACCAAAACAACCACTAATTCTACAACTGCTTCCACCATAAACAGAAAATCTGTGGATTTGAATAATGATTCAAAAGTAGGGTTTGGTGACAGTTGTCACTTTTTATATCTGTCAGAATGTGAAAAATTGCATTTTTATCAAGTAAAATTCAATATCTCAAAAAGGTAATAATTTTTGTTCCTGTTATGTACATTTGTTATTACATGTTAGAACAATATCGACCATTGAAAAAGTATCCAATATCATGCCCGTGTTTTTATTGCTAATCTCGGAGTATTTTTGTCCGTTATTCATGTTGAAGGTACCATGTTTGACCACCTGTATGGTGTTTGACGTATTTAGCAGCCAGTATTCACCCTCTCCACATAATACTGCTATAAATAAATCAGTGAAATCATCTACAAATCACGTTCATCCAACATCTGTTGTGTAGCAGTCTACACAAATTCTAGTTTACAAATCCCGTTCATCCAACATCTGTTGTGTAGCAGTCTACACAAATTCTAGTTAACGAACAGTTCATATTAGCACCCATGCTTTTTTTTTTGCAATTTTCATGCCCCGGGCCATGTTTGGTCAATTATGGCCATTCCCAGGGTAGTAGTTTGTTAATCTGTTACATTGGTGTTTTGTAGAAATACTAGGATCTTTTACGGAGACACCTTCTCAGTCCTTAATTCAAAGCAACAAAATTTGGAGATTTTATGTTATTGCTAACTCTGTGTATATGTATATGAATTAAAAATAAACATTATCAAAAAATTTGCATCCAGTCCAGTTATAATTGCCAGCAATATTTCTTGCTGCCACACCCAGAACTCAGAGGTCCCGGGTTCAAATCCCATTCAGGCCATGTTGTCCTCTTCTGTTACACATGAGATTCAAGGATAAATTCAAGCAAACACGAAAAAATAGTGAAGGCCTGGTTTTTATCATCTAGGGCCTACACTCACAACTTCTGCTCTGTCGATATTTCTTGCACAGCTATGACTATGGTCTCCTGAAACAAGAGAAATTCTAGGATTAATGGTGTTTGATGATAAAACAGTATTTTTCTAAGTGAGACTGGGAGGAATGTCCAGTTACGTTCCCTAGGTTATCACATTCCATGGTGATGTCACCACAAACCCGCCTCTGTCATGTGTGGACAGTGTTTATATGGCCTAAGCTGCTGCAAGGATGCAAAACCCATATCAACTAAATTAAGATGGACGTCTTTAAGTCCCCTTGCAAAATGTGCTTATGTGATGGCTTGTCATCCGCCAGGCATCAAGCAAAAATAAGGCATTGGAAACTTATCATTGGCTAGAAGAAGGCCATCAAGTCTGTTCAAATGATGGACATTGAAGTCACATGGGGTCATATGTGTTAAAATCTCCACCTGACCTTTCATTAGCAAAACAGGCCTAGGGTCATGTTTATTTAGCTTTAGCAGTCAAGTTAGCCTTGACCTATTTTCAAGTCACAGGAGTTTTAATGTGTTAAAAATCTTTAAGGAACTTTTTTTTTAATAACCAAAAGGCATAAGGGTATGACATCGTCTACAAGCATGCTGGATTGAACTGCTATACAGTTTGTTTAGATGAAAGATTTTGACCTATTGGCAAGGTGGTAAAGGAGTTAAATGTGTTGAAACATTAACTTAAGGTAAACAGCTCCAGTGCTTTGTGTTGTACACCCAATGAAGGAGAGTTCCCATTTGTTCACTATTTATTATATTTTGTTACTCAAGCAAAGAATTGAATATGAAATTTCTTTTTATTATTTCCTTTTTCAATAAAACAAATGTCCAAGATTCCATCCCTAGAATTCTTAATTGTGAAACCACAGGTACTAGCCTGGTCTGTCAATACACCTATGATATACCACAGTTACTAGCCTCTCTGTCAATACACCTGTAATATAGGGTTAGGGTTATATTATAGGTGTATTGACAGACGAGGCTAGTACAATGTACCTGGGGTGAAACAGAGCTTATTCACAGTGCAACAAGTTATGATATTTGATACATTTACACTTTTCTGTAAAATTACAGGCAATACTTTTGAAATGCACAATCAAGGTTAATGAGATCAATGTACTAAACCCTTAAAATGATTTTCTTCTGAAAAACCAAGCAATCTCCTGTCATTATCTTTTGCCTTAGGTATGTGATGGCTATCATTACTTCTTCAAAAAAATTGTTGCTTTCAAGATCAAATGTTGAAATGATGCAAACAGATTCTTTTAAAGATACATAATGTCCAGAATAATTATGCTTGGCTGGTAGCTTGCTGGGATGAAGAGTAATCAATTTTGAAGGCTCACCTGTTTCTAAGGACATGATATTATGCCATGGTGTGGCATCTGTCGTCTGTCGTTCAGACGTTCTGTCGTTGTCAACTTCTCCTGACTTTAAATGACCCCTGACGGAGAACCAAAAGGCTTATAGTCATGATATTTGGCTGGTAGCTTCCTTAGATATAATCCAATCGTGTTTATAAACAGTGACATTGACCTACTGTCAAGGTCACAGGGGTCAAAAACGTTAATTAAAGAACCTAAATACCTAGCGTCATGGTTTTTGGTATGGAGCTTCATGGAATAGAGCCCAAACATGTGAAATAAGATGAATTTCAAGGTCACAGGGGTCAACTCTTTATCATGCATACAGTCATTATATTTGGCTGGTAAAGTCATAGGAAGAACCCCTACAAAATTAGCTAAATTAAAATGACATTGATGTACTTTCAAGGTCAAAAACTTCAACTGACATCTTCTGAAGATTTGGCCGTTAGTTTGGTGGGGTAGAGCTTAACAAAATATGCGAAATAAAATGACCTAGATCTACTTTTGAGGACACAGGAGTCAAATATGTCAAAAACTTGAATCAGCTTCTTCTGAAGGATTGAGAGGCCTACATCAGGATATTTTGCTATTAGCATCCTGGGATGGAACCCCCCCAAAAAAATTGGCAAGAAAAATAAACCACTTTCTTACCTTCACTAGATTCCTAGAATAATCCCATCTGAATTCGCGGAAACTATGACCTTGATTAAGTTACAAGTTCAAAGGGGTCAAATATGTCAAAAATTTCAAAAGACTCCTTCTGAAAAACCAAAAGTCCCAGAGTCATGATATTTGGCCGATAGCTTCCTGGATCGAGGCCGATCATGTGTATGAATTATGAAATGATATTACCTGGATCTTCTCCCTAGACCATAACATAGAAGCATTCAATTGTCTGGCGTGAAGAGCGAAATTGTCAGGCTACCAGGATTATTCTGGCGTTCAGCCCCCCACTGGTCATTGCTCCCCCTAAGGATTTAGTCCGTATGAATACAGCTTATATTTCTTATACTCTCTGATGATAGTGCACGGTTTTCAACAAGGGTTTAAATACATGTAATTGAAACATAAAAAAACAGAAGGTGAAATAGTAAGGTCAAAGGTTAACATTCCTGGAATAATGATACTTGTCCGACAATTGGTTTCCTTGGTCGAAGAGCTGTCAAGTGTGTTCGAATAAATGGTCTCGACCTACTTTTAAGTACACATCGGTCCGATGTGTTGAACTATTTTATTAACTTTGAAGGTGTTCTAAATTAATGTTATTATCCTTTAGGTTATGGAGAGTAATCAAGGTTGCACAAGTAAATTACCCTTGATGAACTTTGTTGATCACAGTGTTTTAATGTATGAAACAACTTCCCAAGCTCCTGTAAGTATTGAATAGTAATACCCCAAGCTCCTGTAAGTATTGGATAGTAATACCCCTAGCTCCTGTAAGTATTGGAAAGTAATATCCCAAGCCCCTGTAAGTATTGGATAGTAATACCCCAAGCTCCTGTAAGTATTGGACAGTAATACCCCAAGCTCCTGTAAGTATTGTACAGTAATACCCCAAGCTCCTGTAAGTATTGGATAGTAATACCCCTAGCTCCTGTAAGTATTGGACAGTAATACCCCAAGCTCCTGTAAGTAATGTACAGTAATACCCCAAGCTCCTGTAAGTATTCGACAGTAATACCCCAAGCTCCTGTAAGCATTGGATAGTAATACCCCTAGCTCCTGTAACTATTGGACAGTAATACCCCAAGCTCCTGTAAGCATTGGATAGTAATACCCCTAGCTCCTGTAAGTATTGGACAGTAATCCCCCAAGCTCCTGTAAGTATTGGACTGTAATACCCCAAGCTCCTGTAAGTACTGGACAGTAATACCACAAGCTCCTGTAAGGATTGGACAGTAATACCCCAAGCTCCTGTAAGTATTGGACAGTAATACCACAAGCTCCTGTAAGTATTGTATAGTTTAACAGCTATGGTCGTTTAAGGATGTGCCAGGTTTTGGTGGTGGAGAAAAGTCGGAGTTCCCGGAGAAAAAACACCGACCTACGCGTACGGCCAGTACCTTGTGTCTGCCCCACATAGGTATCGAACCCGCGACCCAGTGGTGGAGGGCTAGTGGTAGCAGAATGTCAGACGCCTTAAAATCTTGGCCACCGCTGGCCCTTGGCTTGCTGGGATGGCATGCTTTTTTGTTTGTTTGAATAATTGACCTTGGACAATATTGAAGGTCACAAGAAAGTTAAAACCTGTGATCTAACAAATAAATATCCGTAAGGGTTAGAATAGTGATACAAGCCTTTAGTGTTAGCTTTCGGATGTGAATTGTCAAACTCTTGTAGTTTTTAGGTCTGTGTCATCAATTGTCAAGATAACTGTTGATGGAATCAGAATATTCTTGTCCAAAGTTAATGTCATTTTCAAGGTCACGGAAGTCAAATATGCTTGCATCTTCTAAAGATCCAAAAGGTCAAGAAGTAAGAGGGAGCAATTTAAACCATACAATTTTGTAATTCGTGTGACTCATTTTAGAAATGATACTTTATGTAAAAGATATAAGACATATAAGCTAACAAATTATTAATTTTGATAATTATTTTGGTTGGATATAGATTATGACAGACGTCTTTAACCCTTTCACCCCTATGTAACTTAAATGAACTCTACCATGCATTAATTTGGAAGAGTCCATTATGGTCTACAGTGGTGAAAGGGTTAAAACTACACCTCATTTCTACAGGGAAATCGGTTGTTATTCCCTGCTTAACGTTCAGCATTTTTGGCGTTGTCAGTAGATGAGATCGGGCGAAATGTTTGTACCTTCGGTATGGTATTTCAGTGAGATAGCACTTTAAAGTCGACATAGTATTTCAGTGAGATAGCACTTTAAAGTCGGCATCTGATCCGCGCTATCACAAGGATGCAGATACACCAACATACCATGCCTCCAGCACACATACACAACACAAACGAAGGAACGTCCTTAAATAACCTTAGCTGTTGAACTTTAAAACCTATAAATCAAACCTTGATCCATGACCAGTTTTGCTCGGTACACTTCACCTACATGTATATTGTGGATAAAACAGCAAAGTTGGTCGATAAGTAGCAGAACTGATTTGAGCAGCTTTTTTACTTCATTCTTAACGATAACCTGTAGGTAACGATTGTTTATATACCAACGAGCTGGAATGGAAAGATAAAAAGCTCAAGTATTTGTCTGTATGTGGCTGTGTGAATTACGGTATTTAAGGTACAATCTAACATACGGTATTCTGTGAAACTTGAGTACATATTAGATGGGTGCTTTAACATTTATTTCAATAAGCAAATTTAAATTAGAAATTGTTCATATTTTCAAAATTACTTTATCTTAAAACGAACTAGATCGTATTCATTGCAACCTAATTTTCAAACAATTGGAACGGGTTTGTGAAG